ATTTAACTCAGCGAATTAAATTTAACTTAAAATTTTTAGTTTTAAAATTAGTTCCCTCTATTAGTTTAATTTTTAAATGTGACTGTTTACTAGGATAGATGAGATTATTCTTGTAGGTGTTGTTTTAAGTCAAAGTTTGAATATTTTGGTGCTTTTAATTTTGTGGCTATCTTAGAATATTTTTGTGGTTGAATGAATTTTGATATTTTAGTATTTTGTTAATTAGTTGAATAGTTGGTTTTAAAAAAAAATTATAATTAATTAGGTAAATCATTTAACAAAGTATTTCGTCTAAAAAAGTTAAAGAAATTTCAATCCATAGTTACAAATTTGTCCTAAAAAATATATATATATATATAGCACATGCGTGACTTTCCTTACCTAAATGTTTAGTTTGCAATTTGCATTATGCTATTTTTATATAATTTTTAATTCTTTTGCTATATTTAAACTTACATATTTATTTATATTATTTTTGTAAAATTTTCAGGAAAAAACAAACCTTACTTGCGTAGCACGTATTAATTAATGGACCACCTTTTTTAAATAAAGTATTAATGGTAGGAAGAAAATTTTCAAATGATGTATTAATTGCATTATTGAAAAGACATGGAAAAGTAAAACGCACTAATTAATTAAATGGTTTTTTAGCCATAGAATTTAATAATATTTAAGTATTTAAATTAATGAAGAATACAAAAATAGAGAAACTAGACTCCTTCGCTTTCCAAGATTGAATAAAGAATATGATAGATAAAAATAATAATAAAATAAAGAATATGAGAACCTATTCATGTCTCCTGTCAAAAGATCGTAAGTTAAAATTCTTCCCCCGACATGTTATACTACAAAGGGAAAGAAATTAGGATATATCATGACCATTTTCTTCTAATAATTAATGCTTGGATGGACCAAGGGCTTTTTTGTCATTATGCATTTCATAATTTTGGTAGGGTGGAAGACTTTGAGAATATGGGTCTCATGTCATGTAGTTGGTACTGTTTTTCTTTAGTCAATATATTTGGTGTTTTGTATTTTAAAATTTTCTTTCTTGAAAAGTGGTTGGCAGTTGAAAATTTTGAATTTCTAAGATTCTATAATTCTATTAAAAACTATATACACACACTATATATATATGTATGTATATTATAAACTTGTATATTAATCTGAATAAACTTTGATAAGTAAGATACCTATTTAGTGTAAAATCACCTGGATCACTTAAATGAGAAGCTATCCACATATAGCTCAATCAAATCGTATTGAAATCTTTACAAAAATAACTATGAATAGCAAGAGCTTCCAAGATATCTCATCATTACTAATTGAGTTATGTTCAAGTTGGCCTAAGATAATTCGTCTTAGATGCATATAACTATGGGTTAAATAACCAATGCTTGGACAATGTTTAACCTTCGATTATCCTATGATAGACGAGTACCTATGTGGAAGAAGATGGCTCGACCATAGATGATTGTGCCAAGCAAGAAAAATATACTTTTCTCTAAAGTATTATATATTACATACCAAAAAATAAAGAATATATCCAACTCTATCATTCACTAGGGAGACACTAATATATGTGACAATAATGTGAAGGTGTAATCCCACACCAACTTTACGTTAGAATTGATACGTAGTATATAAATGTAACGCTCCGAGCTCAAAATTCGGAATCTAGATTTGGCACCTCTCTGTCATCCCCACTCACATGCTTCCTAGTAAAGCAACTAGGAGGTCACCCAACCGAATATTGCTCCAGGTCAAGCACGCCTAACTTTGGAGTTCTTACGATTGAGTTACAAAAAGGAAGATGCTTTTTAAGCTTTCTTAACCATACTTTATATGGTCTCAAGATCCCTCTTATTCGGATGTGGTATCGATTCATTATATTCGGGCGTTACATGTCCACCAGCTTTTGCTTTGGTTCGTCCCCGAACCACATCTTACTGGGAGAGGTTCCACTTTGATACCATTCTGACACGACCCGCTAAAAAAAAAGGTGCTTGTGTGTGAGATGTGGAAAGGAACACGTGGAAATGAAAGAATAAAAAGGAAAAGAAAGAAAAAGAAAAGAGAAAGAAAGGAAAAGAAAAGAAAGGAAGTAATAAGAAAAAAAAAACATTTATGAGTTGTGAAATCGAAGAGAGAGAGCTACGAAAAAAAGGGATTTTGATGGTTGAAGTAACAGAGATTGAAATCAGAAGTTGATGGTGATTTTGGAATCGGAATTGAAGAACCAACAACAATAATTAATGAAAAGTGGTAATTAAGTTGTTTTCATTCGAGGGTTTGGGAAGAAAGAGAGGTCGGAGAGAAATGGTATTTGGGTTTGTTGCTTTGCCTGTGAACTCTCTTAAAATAGACGTTGAACTTGGATTTCTGGTTTCCATAAATATACGTATTGATGAGTTAGCTTCAATTTATGTGTTTTTTATCACAGACCTGGGTGGTAGAATTTGCAGAAAAAAAAAAGAATTCTTTATAAGGGGAAGAAGTCACGGTTTGGTTGTGGTTGTACAGCATGTTTAGAAGTCATGAGCGAATATTTATTTCTGAATTGAATTATGTTACACTTTATGTTTATATATATTAGAGAATAATCTAAATTAGTTTTAGAAATTTAGAAAGAAATTTAACTATAGATTCTATAGTGGGTTGGGGTTTATGGTCGGCACGACTTGTTATAGAACTAGTAGGTGTTTGGAGACGGGTCGTGTCAATAAAGTAATAGTATATCTATTAGAGAGATTTTAATTTTAAAGTAGATAATATTATATATGGTAAGAATATGATCAAGAAGTATGTTGTCTTTCTTTTTTTTTTCCTTTTTAAGTTGAACAATCATAAGAATGAAATGATTGAAATTATCAACATTAAGGATATCATCCACTTAGTACAATGAGATATTTCATATTCTCTCTATTAATAAAAGCAGGTACGCTATAAAATCTAGTACCAAAAGTCTTCAAGAACGAGAAATCAAACCAAAAGACTATTCCATAACTGACTTTGTTGTTGATTTACAAACTTAGCTTGTGCGAGGCTCTAAAAGAGTTTTCTTCAAACAAGTTGACACTCGAGATTTTTGAGTTACGTGCCTAAGGTTTTTTTTTTTCATTTGAATGAATTGTACAACACAAAATCTTCAACAATATTAAACTGCTCTAAATATTTTAGGCTTCGAAGTTATCGCTCCTTCACCTCGTAAATTTAGTAAAGTGGATTCGTTCTTGGAAAATTGCTCACCCCTTGGTCAAAACAACATATGCTACTCCACCCCAAATAATGATTATGGCATCTGAGTAATGCTCAATTCAAGAGAGGTACGTTTTCTCCTAATGTAAACTCTTATTATGTGTATAATATATGGTGGATGTATATAAAATTATAAGTAAATTAAAATGCATGTGACCCACCAATTATATTTGGCAAATTGATATCATTTGGACGGTTCACATGATATCAATTAAAGTGGACAAAAAAGAAAAAGATAAAAGAAAAAGGAAAGATAAACCCATCACAGTTAGAAAGGTGTCAACCATCCGATCATGCCATGTTTTCCCTGTCACGTCATATTACCCTTTAAATTTCCCCTATAATTTATTAAAAAATAAAATTCAGTAAAAATATTCTAATTAATATTTTTTTTAATAGATGATTTATCTATTAAAACGATTGAAGTTACTTTTTTTTAAATATAAAATTTAACTTTTCATAAAATCATTGAAACTAAATTTACAATCGAAAGGCGCAGAAGGGATCAACTATTTGTTTAGTTGTGTGAGTCAATTAAAATTCTAAATGATTTGAGTCCATAAAAAATTATTCTCGAGATTAGAGACGGAATATTTGATTAATCAACTTTTTTGAGATTGTTAATTAAACTGTGCTATCACTATTACCCAAACGTGACATGAACTCAATAAAATAAGAGATGGATAACAAAATAATAATAATAATAATGTTGAAGTTTCCATTTTACTTTCAATTGTAAAGAAGAAAATATTAATATAACACAGTGATAATAAGTTGTATTAAATAGAGGTACTTGTTACTTAAAAAGAAAAAGAAAAACATGTATAAGATTGCTTTTATGAAGTCTTATTCTCTCACTAAAATCGCAGGATTAAATCTAGGCCGGAGAAACCCTCAATAAAGAACTACCCCACGGAGAAAATTTCCCTTTTGAAGGTCTTCCTCCTTAATTTCTATATGGTATAATAGTATATAGACGAGTGGATTATATAGAAATTATACAAAATTAAAAAAGTACATTTGTTTATATGCTATTGGACCATACATGAATTGAGGAGGAGCTTCCTCCTCCATCTTCAGGAAGGAAGTTTTTTTTTATCCAACATGACATAAAAGTGGTTTCAATTATGCCCTTCAACTTTGAGATATATTTCAATTATATTTATATTATTTCAAATGTTTCATTTTAACCCTTAATCTTTAAAATTATTTTAATGGAGACGTCGGTACTCGACGAGCTGATTCCACATGAAAGAGTACGAGATCTTCTTGGGGTTCTCAACATAAAAAAAAAGGTTTTGGTTTCATGTTGAGCTCAACCTCTTATTCATTTTTATGATAAAGAAATCTCTTTTTTGATTTTAGCTTTTCGCATTCTCTTTAAATTCAAAGGACTTGATTTTGATTCTTGGGATGAGTGGACGGACGGTAAGCGGCTTCCCGGACTTAGCCGAGGTCAAGATGGTTCGGGGTTCAGGCGCATCGAGCTCAAACTCTTTCCCTYGGTGGGACATTGATCTCGATCTGCCTCCACGGGAAGAAGTAGAAGTTCCCGTTGAGGAGGCTCCCGAACCCGATATGGATGTGTACGGGGTAGCGAGACCTGCCTAAAGATAAAGAGGAGAGAAAAGGAGAGAGAGAGAAAAAACACTTTAAGCTAAAAATAATATAAAATTAATAAAAATATACTTCATTTAACTAGGTTAGATTTTGGAATTTGAGAGACCAAATAGATATCAAATTCAAATCTCTAGTATACATAAAAAATAAATCCAATTTTTTAGTACAAAATATTTAGGGGTGGGGTTTCAACACACTAAAAAAAAAAAGAAATCAACTCAAAATGGAAAGGTCTATGAATAATTCTTTCCACCTATATCAGGTACTCTTCGGTTCAAATTTTTGAGTGCTAATTTACATAACCATTAAAGTATTAACAACTCCATTTTTCTTGTGTCACATAAGAATGATTCCTTCTACTTCCGTATTTATGCATTTTCTTCTTATATAAAATATTATCAATTGAGTTTCATTATCAAATCTATCTTCTTCCTTGAATCACTAATAAATTTTCACACCACTTTGAAATCAATTTTTGCCATAGAAGATAGATTTATTTAGAGTTATTACTTCTCCAAGCTTAATCGAAATCTGTTCCATCAAGAATTATCATTTTATCCAGAAACGTCGCATTTGAAACACACTACCTTTTAGTTGACGAAATACTTAATCAGTCCCGTTGGTGCGAATATTACAATTATTTGTAATACAATTTCTTTTTTTTCTTGTGGTAATTACTAAAATTTATTGGGGAAATAAAAAGAAGAAAAAAAGAAAAGGAAACTGCAGAGCAGCTGAGCCGAGCCCTGTTTGCAGGAATAAAAGTAAAGCTTTTCATCTTTCTCCAGTCTCCTTTCTATTCCCTTTCTTCTTTTTTTTTTCCCTTCCAGTTGACAGAGAAGAAAGTTTCAGAAGAAGAAGAAGAGGCAGCGGGGATAAGAGTGGGGAGCTTTCGATTCCGGAAGGGAGGTCGGAGAGTGATAGACGGTGACATATAATTTCAAGGGTATTTCTTATTTTCCTTTGAACAAACTTCAATTTTCTCAATTTTCCATTTTTGTTTCAATTGAGGGGTTTTGAAGTGCATTATCGTTCATACCATGGGTCTTCTGATTGTCAGGAGCTGCTCTTTGATCTTCTTTCCCGGAATCGAATTTTCCTTTGATTTTGTTTTCCCTTGCAAATCCTTACCAATTTCGCAGCCCAGGCTCCTGCGTCGTGGGTCTTCTGTGTATTTTGAATTCATGGGGTAAGTTTTCTAATTATATTTTTTGATGATTTTGTCTCGGCGACTCCTCTTTGTTTTTGCAGTGCTAATTTGGGTAATTTTCTGCCCGATTCACTTTTAGAATAGATTAAGTTCTTGGGTGTATTGGGAGGAATCAAAATGAAATTCAGCACTTGAGTAGTTTGCTTTTGACTGCAAACAGGATCGGAAGAGAAGGGGGGGAAATGGTGTGGTTTGGTTTAGCTTCTTTTATTAAGATTCTAATAATTTAGCTCAATTTTAAAGGATTCTTAAGAACTTGTACAAACTGATTACCTGGTGCGGCTGTATTCTCCATTGCTTAATTAAAAGGATTAAAGGATAAGGCATCTCACACTTTTTGCTACTTTATGCTTAAATTTGCTTAAAAAAAATTCTCCATTATATTTGGCCATGCTTGATGTTTGTTGACTATATTGAAAAGCTAACTACTTAAGCTTCTAAGTGTAGTGTTGATTTAACATGGTATCTTTCTCAAGTTCAAACTTCTTCAATGTTATTTTTCCACATTTCATATTAATAGTTCACACGTTGAGCTTTGTGTTAACATCTAAGCCCACATGTGAGGCAGAGCATTGAGAACGTATTGTAAATATTAAATTTACCTTTACGTATAAACTAAAAGTTTTCGAATCTAGTGATGATTTTACGAAGTTGTTGCCATGACTATTGCTATGTGAGAATTGGGGTTTTCATTGATTTTGTCTCAGCTGTGCAAATATCAATAGTGATGGAATGTTGGCATATGATGCAAAATGCTGTGTCATCTTAAAAACTTAAAGTTCTCAAATCTTTCAGATACTATACAATTCATGTTTTATTTTCTGAGTGTCCCATCAAACTATTTGTTAGCCATCTTCTCCCTAGCTTACATGGTTGGAATTTGGAAGGGATTGGCAGGTTAGATCAGATGTATATCTCGGATGCACCCACCCATCTAGACAAGGTTCTATAAGAATATTGCGTAGCAGAATTTCCAGATTACTATGTATATCATATATGTTTGGTTCAATGATGAACATAACCTTTACAAGATTCTACAACAGAAAACCAAGCAAGGCCAATAGTTTTCTGCCACCTAGCTGTCGAGAAAGGTTAAGAATAGATGAATAAAACAGTAAGGTGAAATTCAAGTCTGCTGTAAAAAGTAATCACACCTAATTTATCTTAACACATCACCTACTGCATGGTAGGCTACTTTTCTATAATTAGTTTCTGAGGAGATGCCTAGTATCAATGACCCCGTGTTACCCACTTGTTAACTTCAATGCACGGATGGACATTAAGCTTAAACCTTGGTTCGTGAGGATGCATCTATCATCAATAATCTTTTGTTCATTCAAAACCATTTCAATCTGTTGATACTCTGGTAGTTTGTATTATTTGCATCATACTCAGTAGCTTTAAATTTAATATAGATCATCAGGTTTCCCATTAACCATATGATAATTTTAAATCTAAGAAGTGATTACTTGTTTATGAATCATAATTATGCTATCATTTATAACAGAAAAATACAATATGTAGTCAAATCTGGTTCAACTTTTCCAGTCCCTTCCCAAACGTTTCCTTTTTAAATGCAGATATCTGCCTTTTAGTATTACCTTCACGTCTTTGAAGAAGTTTTGATTCTTGGAAGACTTTTTTGTTTGACGAAGATGAACTAAGGAATTAATTCCACTGTAAAATCGTTATTTATGTGATGAATATGAATAGTGTCTTCAAGTTCCCTGGTCCTGATTTGATGAAACAAGGTAATTTCAGGTGTCTTGTGAATATTTGAGCCGGTATTTATCAGTTATATGATCACGTTTGGTTTGTAACAGAACAGTGGTTGTCTTGGAAGCTGCACGAAGCCGAAACTAAGAACTAAGCGGAATAATCCATTGAAAGGTCTACCGATTCAATGTCGTGGACTAAAGAAACCCAGCATATCAGAGGATTTCTGGACTACTAGTACATTTGATGTGGACAACAGTGCTGGTCAATCACAAGGAAGTATGTCATCAATGAGTACAATCAACCAGATGCACGATCCGCACGGTAGCTCAGGCAATGTACACAATACTTCGGAGTTTATAAATCATGGTGATTTTCTCCCTGCTCTCTCAGAACCTTCAGTCGCTCAATTGGTTGTGCACAAGATAGTTTAGAACGAAAATCATGAGCCAAACTGCACTTTGTGAATTGGACCGTAAATAGATTGATTTAATGGATTAAGTTTCTTGTGCATATTTCACCAATCTGTTCATTTGCTATACCTTTTTACAAACCGAAAGTCTCTTTAATTTTTCTATGTGATTATCCCATTGCATTGAAGAATGACATTGGCTTAAGTAACTATATTTGGATCTTGGTGGTAGGCCTTCTTCTGTGGAATCAAACTAGGCAATGCTGGTCGGGGAATAAACGGTCCGAGAACCGAGCATCGCAGTTCCAAGAACCCAAGTTAGAGTAAGCTTCTTTCTATTATTCCAGATCAATAAAATCAAACATCGGTACTTTGATGTCGATCTGATAGTCCTACTTGGGTGGTTCCTCTTGCAGTTGGAATGCAACCTATGAGAATTTACTAGGGAGCAACAAGCTATTCCGTCAACCTATCCCACTCGGCGTACGTTTCGACCCATCTAAACTCTTTCATTTGCTGGAAATCAGACTTGAATCTAATCGTAGATTGACGTTTGCTCAAAACGTGCAGGAAATGGTAGATTTTCTTGTGGATGTATGGGAACAAGAAGGGTTGTATGATTGATTATTTTGAAGAATGAGCTGCAGTGGGCCTTTTTCTTTGCCTTGTATTTTGCTGAAACGCATTCAGATGAACATTTTCCCTGCTGCCTATTCTTGATGCTTGGTTTGGTTCCCTTTATGCCTTGTTTGATATTGCTGTAGAGTTTTTATATCATAACTCTGTTATAGAAAAATCAAAATCAGCTATGATGGAAAATACTATTTTTGCATTTTTTTTCCTTTTGCTCCAAGTGATGATAAACAAACCTTAACCATAAATTTTCACGAAAACAAAACATAAAAAAATCTGTTATTTTTTGGTATAAAAATATTTTATTGACAAGTTGAGTTAAAAAGGTAAAAAAAAGAAGGTAAAAATAGTATAGACGATATTTTAGAGGCTAATTGGCATGCGAATTCTGTCATTTAAATAATATAAATTCTAAAAACAACCTTTATTTTTATGTTTTAAGTGTTTTTAGAATTTTAAAATGTATTATTAGATTAAATTGATAACATTTTTTTTATAAGTATAGTGTTTCATGTTTTAAACATATTTAATTTTTTTTGCTAAAATTAATACATGTAAAATATAATACATTATAAATTATATAATATCGTAAGATAATAATTTCACAAAATTTATAATAAAAATATTAATAAATAAATTAATATTATATTTTATTGAATTGAATATTTATTGGTAATTACAATTAACTTACAAATATATTATTTAACAACGTTGAATAATTTTTAAAATTGTGATTCAAATTGAAGGTAGAGATCAAATACGCCATTATTTTGATTTCTATTTACAGATTATCAATCAAATAAATATTCGGGGATAAATTTTAGACAAATTGAAAATGAAAATTTAACCAAGGACAATTTGAGAAATGACAGCCATAGCCCCAATCTTTCCAAATAAAGACTCTGCGAAAGAATAAGACTTGTCAATGTCAGGAGAAAGGGATGGGGCCCACTTTCGCCACACGATTCTGACACGTGGATCTTGATTGGATTTCTTACTTATGATTGGAACAGTAAAAAATATTTTGCACACCAACAAAACGAGTGCAGCCAAGGTCTTTTCAATCACGGATTACAAGGATCATAATCTCAGCCGTTCATAATGATGACGGAACTTCGCTAATCTCAAAATCGTCGCCGTTGATTCCTGCTACGGTAAAAAAGTAAATTGATTTTTTTTTCTTTTATTTCTAATTTCATCTCATTTTAATCTACTTTTTCGTTTGTTTTGTTTCAATCATTACATCTTTTTATCTTTAATGGTTAAAATTGCATCCGAATATCTTTTCTCCCTTTGGCATGGATTTTGTTTTGTTAACTTATTTTTTGAGCTTAAAACAACTAAATTATTAATATTGGATGTAATAAATTCATTAAACTTTAAATATGGTATCTATTAAATTTCCAACACATTTATCATACACTCTAAAACAATTCTAAAAGTTCCATGACCAACTGTATTCTATCCTCTAAGATTTTTATTGCATTTTTAAAATCTCATATAAGTTAAATATGAATTTAAGATTTTTGTTAAATCTCCAATATATATATTTATTTATTTTAGTTTGTCATTTTTTTTAAATACTATTTTTTGATCTCTAAATGTTTGTCTTTTTATTTATTTCAATTTTTGTACTTCCAAATTTTGTTTATTTTAGTTTATGTAATTTACAAATATCTATTTTTATCTCTAAATTTACACAATGATAATTTGTCTATTTATTTTTATTTTTATCTCAGTTTTCTAATCAGATAACACTTCATTCACTGAATTTCTTTATAGGTAAACCATAAATTTATATTAAATAATTTTCATTATATTTATATTTTATGTTAAAACTTTGAGACCAGAGTATAACAACAAAAACAAATGTTTTGAAAGTACAAAACCAAATTGAATATTTTAAAATTAAATGGACCAAAATAAATTAAAGTCAAAATCATGGAGACAGAAATGAAAAATACTTAAACCTCAACAATGAGGAGAAACCTCGTTCTGCTCACCGTTTGAGATATTAAATCATTATTATTTTTTTAAACAAATTTTTATTTTTGTATTTCTCCATTTTAATTATCAAACATGAAGTGGATAAAGAGGATAAGGCCACCTCAATATTGAGGAGCCCAAGTATTTTCCATACAAATAGCATCTAAACATTTTCTGTTGTTGTTTTTAAAAGCAAAAGAGAAGCTAGGTGTCTTCATTAATATTGAACATTTTGAAATGAAAGGTGAAAGTGAATAAAGTTTCTGTAAAAGTAAAAGCATAAAGATACACATGTCTGTCTGTTTGTAGATGAAGTAATAAATTTATATGCAGCAGTTCCAATAAACAAAGAGAGAAAACCCTCCATTTTGCATCTATATTCACATACACAGAAGCTCATGCAATGGTAGACAGTGAATAAGGCAAATATTTTGAGAACTGGAAAAGGAATTAATGGAAAGTAAGTGATTGGGCAAAAATCTTCAAAGATTTAGGCTCTTTGGAAACATGAAACAGACATATATAATTACTGTTACATCAGATGAGTGAAGTTCCACTCAAACTGCCTCTCTCTTCCTCCTTTTTTCACTCAAAAAAAGTTTGCCCATTCATTACATTTGGAATCCTCCACTACTTTTCATTTATGGACACTGTTTACCCCTGCCCCACAACAATAATTTATTGCCCTCTCACCATGGATAAAGTTTTTACCGGAGAAAGAGTATAGTTCCGTAGTAATTGAAATTTACTTTCAAATTCTTACTCCATAATTTGAGTGGGTGAGTCAATTTTTTCACAAACTTTTAAAGTTATACATGAACTAGACAAAATTCAACTAATACTAGCAAACTCAATTAAGAAATACTCCATCTAACCTAGCCACAAAATTGAGAAAATGAAAAAGGTTCATACTTAGCAAATAATTAACGTCATCTAACCATAATTAGAATTAGAGCTACTATCTACAAAAATAGTCTCGTCTAGTTATAAGAACCTCATGACTAGTCAAAAAAAATTTTAAATAGAAATGTAGGGCCCGCTTGATAATGTTCCCATTTATTGTTTCTGGTTTCCAATGTTCTTAAGAAATCTAAACATTTTTCAACTAACTTTGGGCTAGTTTGCTAACGTTCTTGGTTTCTCATTTCTAATTTTCTTAAGAAATCTAAACACTTTACAACTAATTTTGTTTATTGTTTCTCATTTTTAGGGAACATTCTCACAATTGTATACAAATTTTGGAAACAACCAAAGCAAGTTTCTCTTTTCTTGTTTTCATTTCCAATTTGTTCCAAAACATAAATAAAAAGATTGTTTTATCATACTTCAATTTTTAGAGATTGGAACCATGCAATACATTTTTCTTCATTAAAAATAAAGAAACAGAAACAAGAAACAAGAATGTTACCAAACGGGCCATTTGTTTCGTGGAAACATCCCAAACAAGTTTTTTCTTTATTGTTCTCATTTTCAATTTGTTCTAAAACATAAATAAAGAAATTATTTTATCTTACTTGAATTCATTGATGTTGAGCCATGCAATCCATTTTGCTTCACTAAAAACTAATTAACAGAAACAATAAATAAAAACATTGCAAAAGAGGCCCTTGACTTGAGGATAATTGCACCCCTTATTCAAGTACATGGTTAAATTGGTTGAAAGGGACGAAAACGAAAGTTTAAGATTAAAATTGACACACACCTCATCGCGACTCTTTTCAAATTGATCACTTTTGTTGATGAAGTTTTGACATTTGTGCAGTGTACACAGAAGATTGAGATATCATCCTAAATAACTTTTGAGCTTGGGTTTTGAAAAGGGGTACTGGATATAAGGAGAAGGGCATGGCAGATTCCCAAAAGGAAAAGTGTTGAAGGAGAAAAAGGGAAAGAGGAAAAGAAATGGAACTTCATTTGGGACTGTTGTGTGGCAGTGCTGTTATGGGGAGAAGCTTAGCAACTCACAGATATCTACTTGAACTACACTCATTGCCAATGCTCTTTTCCCTTAATCCCTCTTCAATCTTTGGCGAGAGACCAAAGGTAGTCACAAATAATAAATATCCGGAAATAAAAGATAATTGTATTTAGTTGTGCATGATGTTATCAAAATTTTCATGAAAATAAATTGTACTCACTTTTCTAAAAAATAAATTTTAAAAAACTAAAAATGTTCATTTTGAAACTTTAGAGAATGAATAGACACCTAGTTCAAGTCTTGTAAAAATACATTTTTTTTTCAAAATTTGACTTGAATTTTGAAAAATGTTTTTAAAAGGCTGATAACTAGATAAATGAATACATGTAACGTATAAGTAATGACTATAAGCTTAATTTTTCAAAATAAAAAACTAAAAACAAAAAAGTTATTAAACAGATCCCTAACGATGTCCCTATTCCTTAAACTACAAAACTACATATCCTAATCTAAAATCAAACACAAACACAAGAAGTAATTAAAATAGTAAAAAAAAAAAGTTGCCCAATTTCTTAAATTGTACAGAAACACACAAGTTCCCAAGATCAGAAGAAAACAGTTACATTAATTTCCAACCATGTCAAACAACAACTACCATTTTTCTTTAATATAAAGAGAAAAGATAGTCCCACATGAAATATGAAACCCAGCTCGAGAAACTAGGCACAAATACATTGTCAGTGTCACCTTCCAATAGACAAGTCATTGTAGCCCTAACCCACAGAACAAAAAGAAAAAACAATAAAACAATCAACTACTGGTCACTTCAGTCACTCACTAACAGCTTACAACTCAGAACACAAGTAGCAGCCTAGCCAGTTTCCCAAACACATCAAAAACACTCTTATTTATGTCTCTTCCACAGGAAACATCTGTCAACCCTTCTCCAAAATCACAACCTTCAAACTTCAATCCTTCACCCTCACCAATCACTCATGGCTTTGGCTACCTCCACATCTCATCCACCTTCCCTCAAACTCGCTCTCGCTCTGGCTTTCATCTTCATCTCCTTTACAGGTACGACAAACACGATCAAATTTGATAGAGACAGGTTCTGACTAGTAAGGAGTTAAGTATTTTTCTTTTGTTCAGATGGGTCGGTTTTGTCGAAGGGTGGGGACGGCGGAGGGGAGCTAAGTAGGAGTTATGTGGGTGGGAGGAAAATGGTGGTGGGTTCGAGGCCGCCCGGGTGCGAGAACAAGTGCATGAGTTGCAGGCCGTGCATGGCAGCGGTGGTGGTGCCGGTGCACCGGGTAAAGGGTTTTAAGGCTATGTACTCCTCCTCTCGCGGTGAGGAAGAGGATAGCTATTATTTGCTGTCATGGAAATGTAGATGTGGGAATAACATCTATCAACCCTAGCTATTGTATTTGTAGTTAGCATCAACTTCATAAATTAGTATGTTTTTTTGACGAGTACGTATATATATATATTATATATTTTTCATTTTCATATCTCTTTTGATCTTTCTCTCTAGTTTTGTGTTCCAATGTGTGGAATTATTTGCTAATTGTTGTAATAAACATGTATAAACGTGATGAAGAGGTGTGGAATTCTACCACACCGTTTTTGAGCCATATGAATGGTGTCAAATGGCGGCCTTCATTTTCAATAAATGAATTTGTAGTGCCGTTGTTAATTGGGTGATTTTGGTTGGACAATGATGTACCTGAATTAGTTGTATGGTTGTCCCGAAGTATGTTTTCTAAAAGCATATTCCAACTTCCAACTCTCGACTCTGATTAGATTTTATGTTTTAACCCATTAAATTATACTAATGGAACTCCAAAAATGGAAGAAGAAGAAAGAGGAAGAGAGAGGAAGAGAAAATAAAATACATATAAGATACAAGCAATATAGAATTATTTTTTAAACGTCAGGTATCAAGATGCCATTTTTTGAAACTTATGAACCAAATAGACACTTGTCTTCCAACTCAAAAACCAAAAGTGTATTTTATCTTTCCATATTTTAACTAGTTAAACTAATTTGTATACGTGGTTAGAGGTAGTGTTGCAGGTCCCTCTAGTAGAAAATGCCTATTTTTATAGTTCAACAAAACATATATGGAATAGGAATTTGAACCTTCAATTTTTTGGTCGATAATATATCAGTTGAACTATGCTCGATTGACCATGTCTACTGTATGTAATCTTCTCAAACTTCATGCTATAATAAAGTCTACATGTATTTCTTTATTTTTTACATATTTAAATCTGCAATAATTTTTTTGCTTAAAAAAATCTGCCATATTTGGGTCGATTTGGGCCGAGTTAGCCCATATACGACTTCAAGATGACTGATTGGATTTGGGTCGGCCCATATGGCTGAAGTCGTGTATGTAAAGGAATAACAAGAGGAAGATGAAATGGAATGTTCATGTTCGTTGATTTTGTAGCTCCTCCGGATGTCGATTTTCTATCATTCTACGCACTCCCTCACCGCCTCTACAATCGCCGTTCCTCTCTGCTCGCGCTTCCGTGTTCCGCCGGAAATCTGCTTCTCTTCGCATCATCGCCGCCGTTCATCTCTCTTGCTCTCCTCCAATCCTTATGCTAGCTCCGCCGCTTGCAGCGCAGCAGTACGTCCGCCACCGGACTCCGGTCCGCCTCCCGACAAGGATCCGATTCGTGCAAAAGGTTCATATTATTTCCTTTCTGCGCTTAATTCGTTTGATGTACTGGATTGCTTGTGATCAGATTCGTTTTTGCTTTATCTTTATCTCTATGGAATGGCCTTCATGTCCTAAAATGAAAATTATATTAGCTCCTGCGTTTAGCTCAGCTCGTGCTAGTGGTCCTTTCACTCACAATACAATTGATAAGAACGTTAATTATCCATTTGAATTTCTGGTTGCTTGGAAGTTGATCGTCCCTAATATTTTGTTCGTGTATTTTGTCATTCGGAAATTTAGTAGGTCTGCGGATGCATATGTGATTAGGCATAATAGTTAATTTTCTTGTGATTTGTTTTGGGAGTTCGTTATGTAGGAGATTTTGTGCAATGCCTTCTAAATATGTCGAAAATCTTACCGGGAAAAAAGTAATGGCACTTGGAGGATTCACTAGGTGCAACGACACAAATATTCATTAAAAAAAGAAAAAGAAAAACTACTGATCCATAAAAATTTTCATAAACCGCGTCAGTAAAGTTCAAATGTCAATGTTTTTTTTTTCTTTTGCATCACCTTAGTATTCGTGTTACCTGCAAGTAGAAAGCCATACATCCCCCTTCCATGACAGTTATATTTTAGCTTTCCTGGAAGAGTGACGTCAGTTTTTAGGATGCAACTTTCAAACGGAAGATGAAGGAAGCGTGTGTTCTTTTCCAGCCACTATCATATGGTTGCTGTGAGGGAGATTTTTGGTCGTTGATGGTGTTAAGCTGTTAGGCTAGGATAACTTGAATTTTCTTCAATTCATTCTTTTACACTTCCTTGTTCGCATTGGCCAAATATTAGTTTTGGTTCTTGATTCCGAACACGTGGTCTATTAATATGAAAGTGAATGGAATTGACGTTGCAGTGATTTCAGAGTTGTCAGAGTTTCCTGCCTTGAATTGGAGTACCCTTTCCAAACTTTTTTTTTTTTTGGGTAACTAGCTGCTTGATTATAGCCAATTGGAGTGCTTTTCTCAATTTTTTTGCATTCTGGAAGATTGCTTACCTTCGTGTTTTCTACTTTTCTCTTATTAATGAATTTTGTTTCTCGAAGTGCCTGTCATAAGTTGTCATATTTTTAGAGAAAGTCATTTTGGAGTGAAGATGTCGATTGGTCTAGGTATTAGACTGTAACTGTAATAATACTCAGGAATCCTGCCATGTTATTATATGAATTTTAATGTTCTAACTTAATTCTGTTTTTCTTGATAATTCATGTTGTAATTTGTTGCATGTATTTGAATTGCTTTGGCATCATGCTTAACTCTCTGATGTGAATAAAGATAAAAGCATGTTCCCTTATTTCTCTTAATATCATTATTTGAACAGGTTTCCCAGCATTTTTCTCAAAATTTCAGGACAGAGTACAGATTTTCTTTGCTGTGTTATTCTGGATGTCCCTCTTCTTCTGGACTTCAGTATTGGATGGAAAAAATAGACCCAATAAGGGCTCTCGATTTAGACGATAGCTTTGTAAACAAGCAAGCATTATTTTGTAAAGGATTGTAGGTTAATACATAATAGTGTTAGGCTACTTTAGTATATTTTAGATGATGATACCAAACATGGAAGGCTATATACCCTGTATATTGTGTAGCTGCATACTGAGTGGTCTAAGAAACAATTGGAAGTAAACCGACATGGAAAGCTGTATTCTGTTTTGTACTCTAATCAAGTTTCATGAATTTCGTTAAGGGACGTTTTGTTTTAGGGATTTTAGATGTCTAGAAATTCAAATGTCCGACATCTTTAGATAACCGAATTTGCTTGGTAGGAAAATTTATAATAATATATGAGAATATTTGAATAGCATCCTAGGATATTTAGGTATTTTAAAACGTCGGGTATCATATATTCCTATAAAGCAAACGCTCATCCGAGTCCCATGAGATTCCAATGAAACAATCAGCCCTAAATTCTTCCACTTTTGATCATAACATCTAAGGGTGTTTTTGTTGTTATCCTGTGATCAAAATTAAAGCAATCAAATATTTATATTATTAAAAGGAGTATTGGATTAAAGTTTACATTTAATTTAGAAACTTATAGGTGCTTATTGTTATGAGGTTTAAAACCTGGAACAATAATAAAGTATCATTAGTATACAAATGATGTCAATATAGAGTTTCGTAAATTTCTCTAATGACTTGAGAATAGAATGCAGTGACAATTATGTCTTTGTCACCTACCATGACAATTTAAGTTATCGAAATCCACTGAAGAAATATGTCGTCCATTTAACTTTTGAAATTATCTATGTGTATCATTATATCTTAATAGAAGGCCTCAGAAAGATGAAGAGTTAGAAAAAGTTTTGGCAGAAAGATTGAATTCATCGATCAAACATTTGAGTTGTCCTGTGAGGAGGTGTTGATCTATTCGATTCAAGCTTCTATTCGTGAGTGTTTTCTTTTTATCCTTTATTTTTGGTGTTCATAACCCTCTTTAACATTCGCCATCTAGATTTCATTTAACATCATAACATGAATAAAAAGATATAATCATTGTGTTGTGGAAGAAACCATTGCTTTGAAAGTTAACCCAAACACTTTTCTCAACGTGCACTCGTCAGATAAGAACTGGAATCGATCAATTATTTTAAAACTTTTCTCCGATCGAGTTTTGAAGAAGATAAAAAAAAAAAATATTTGCAACAAATATAGAAATCAAATGTTCAAATAAAGGAATAGACACTAATTACTGTTGAGCTATTCTCATGTTGGTCTTCAATAATCACCTTAGATTAAATTTAAGTCGGGAATTATAAGAGTTTCTACCAAGCATCCACCGTACAAAATCATGAATTTGAATCTCCGACCTTTTATCGTGTTAAAGAAAAAAAATTCAAACAACAATTTAAAAGAAAAAAAAAAACTTTGTATTTGAAGAAGAAAACAAAAATTGATATCACTTGGGCATTCCATGGCATCTATAAAAACCCAGTTGCCACCACTTGGTTTCTAAGAATGGAGGAGTACCAGAACCCTTCTGTCTTCACCAGTTTTGGTTCCATAAACTTCCATCAACAATTTCCTACTCCTTCTTCACTTCTCACAATCAACTCTCACCCGATTCTCTGATCTGATCATACCCTTTTCCTTCAATTCACTGGTTTCGCACCGCATAAGCATGCTGTTGAGAACTTCTTCAACCCCAATTCTCAATTCTTGGCTTCATCAAACCAAATCCCCCCCTTCTGAATCGGACCAATGTCACCAGCTTCAGAGAGCTAAATCGCTCTCCTTAGCCGCTTCTTTTCACCCTCCTCCGCCTCCTTCGGATGACTCGGCCAAGAAATCAACCCAAAACTTGCTACAATCGGATGCCGCAGATCCAAGGAGGAAGAATCGGGTACCGAAGAAAGTGAAATCCAAGGAGAATGGAGCAGCAGTGCGAGATCGAGAGCTCAGTCCCGCTTCGGATTCGTCTTCGTCTTCCATTCATAGACTGTTTTCGAGCTCTGGGTTGGGTGTGAATGTGCCAAATTATGAGGCGCGTGATGAGAGGAGGGATGAATGTGTTCTGCAGACGATGGTTGTCGGCGGCGGAATGGGAAGCGACGGCGGCCGGGTGTGTGGCGGCGGAGGTGGCGGAAGAGGTTCCGATGGCGGTGGGGGAGGGGACAACGATAGGTCGGGATTTAACAATCACCATGGTAGTAAGAGCACGGATGCTTATTACCAGAGGATGATTGAAGCAAACCCTAACAATGCCCTTCTACTTGGAAATTACGCCAAATTCCTGAAAGAGGTACTTTAACTTTCTTGCAATCTCTTGTCAAACTCATCAATGGCTGCCCTTCTGATTATGCTCTGCCATTAGGTCCATGGAGATTTTGCCAAGGCAGAGGAGTTTTGTGGAAGAGCGATTCTGGCTGATCCAAATGATGCAAATGTTCTATCACTTTATGCTGATCTAATTTGGTGTACTCAGAAGGATGCTCAACGAGCCGAAACCTATTTTGATCAAGCAATTAAAACTTCCCCAGATGATTGGTGAGAATAATATGAATATATTCAATTTATTCTTGATGGGCTGCTTCTTATTTCTATGAATTGATTGATTCTTGTTTGATTTGCTAGAAAGAGATTATGTTGACTGGTGATTCATTCGTTTACCTCTAATGATGGCCAACTTAATTAATTTCTCCATGAACACAAGAACTTGAAGAAATTCTGAGTTCAGTTTCAATATCAATTCAAATCCTAAACATTCAGTGGTTGTGAATAGTCCAATTTGATTGTGATTTGTGTATTTTCTCCTAGAGATGCGAAAGTTGTCTTTGTTAGTAAGTGGATCATGGACCATATGGTATAGTTGTCATCAAATTCAGCCAAATACATCTCATAATTGAAATCCTTCAGTTAGCCTTTTCTGGTTATGCTTTTGATCAAGTGTTAAGAAAAAAAGAGAATATTTCGTTGGTCTTTGCTTCTCTGATTGTGATATTGGTTCAAAGTTGATCTTATTAGTGCAAAATCTCTCTGTGATCTACAGCTATCTCCTAGCTTCATATGCACGGTTTCTCTGGGATACCGATGTTGACGAAGAAGACGATAAGGCAGAGGAAAGCTGCTCATCTCCGCCCGGTTTCGCACATGGAACTCCTCACCACTCTCCTTTGGCAGCAGCTTCCTAATCTCACCAAATATGCAACACACTACTTTCCACTGTAAGATAACTTCAATAAAGTATCAGCTCATACACATCTTAAGAGCCCCTTTTGTTCTTAGTATATATGTAATTTTTGCGGAATGGATATGATTCTCTAACTGGTAACCCTTTCTATAACTTATCCAATGTAAAAAGGTAATAAATAAAGCCACTTTTGAAACCCTTTTGCCACTATGTTCTATAGAGGAAGATTCAACATTACTTTCTCTTTTAGCACTATTTTTCTTTCCTTATGAGAATTTCCAATCTGAAGGGTCAAGCTTTATTTGTTAATGGCTGTTAATAGTTGAATGGTTGAGATTGGACGTCGGTATACAAGATCTCGATCCCGATCCCGATCGGAGGGATGAAAAAGTGAAGTTGCTTTGTGTTTAATTCCTAAGTTGGTTGGAATAATGGAAGAGTCAAAGGAGTTAGATTAGCTTTCAATTGCAATAGGATATCTTTTTCTTCTATGTGGTGATTTGCAGATATTCTATATTTGTGGCTGGTGGATGGCTACAACCAAATGTGGGTCACTTTTGATGTCATTTTCTTTCATGTATCAGCTAAGCTGTTCCAAAGCATGCTTTTAAATATTTTAATCTTGTGCTATCAAACTAAGCTAAATTTAATTTTAGCTTTCATGCTTTATCACCACTTTTGTTGAAATGTGATTCGTCCCACATTGGCGAGATAGATGAGGAGAATATCATCAATATACAATAATCGATAACATCTCTATAAGTACGAGATCTTTTACAGGTACATGTTCAAAGTGGACAAATATCATATCATTGTAGAATATATGGAGGGGTCGATTAAAATGGCTCTGAACATAGCTCATTTGGTTAGGATATATATTTACTTACGCCAACTTTCTAAAAATGGTGGGGTGGTAGAGTTGATATTAGGTGGCGGAATTCATTTATAAATTATAAAACATTATCACTAAAAAAAGTAGTCCCGCAGGCATTATTTTAATAATTGAATAAAGAATTTTGGGTTCTAGCCCATTGTAATCTTCTAATCAAGCAGGAGCTTCCACTTCCAGCATCTGCAAAACTGGTCTCCACTTGCTTATTTCAACATATTAATTGGTGGGTGTGTTCAAAATTCTTAACCCTACTTGAGAATTTTAAATTTAAATGGGAAAAAAATAATAAAAGATAAGAAAAGACAGTTAATTAAGATGTATAAAATGGCAAGTGGATTATCTAATATAATATGACCCACTTTGGTGTCTATTTCTGCCAAAAATTAAAAAAAAATTATTTATATATATATATATACACACAATAAATATGAGATGAGAGTTCGAGTCTATGATCCTTTTATCGAAATATATGCGAGTTGAATTATGCTCAGATTAGTTAATAATAGGACATTTAAAAATGTTTAACGATACAGACAAGCATAGAAAATGTCTATAATAATAATAATAATAATGGAAAATGTCAATGATTTTCCAGAGGCCTCTTTTTTTAATTAATTATTTTGTACTTTTGCTTGCTACTTAATTAAGTTCAATAGTAAACTATGCTCTTAAATGATTCATAAATTTGAGTGATATCAAAAGGAAGATTTCTTTTTTAAGTCTTTTTATTTTATGTTATCTACCATTTATTTGAATCATTATAAATACATGGAAGTTGAAAGACTGATTCCAAGACTAATAAATTTAATCAAATCAGATAAAATTGTCTGTCATCTCTATATCGTGTGTTAGAAATTTCTACATTGTACATGGAGTTGTTAGTATTCTTGCTTCTACTCTTCTTTTTCGTACCTTTTGTTTTTTTTTAAGAACACTTGAACTTGAGATTGTTCTTAAATTAAAAGCTATGTCTAAGGTAACTTAATTAAAAAAATTACCGCTAAAACAAATCTCTTATTGTGTTAAAAATATATATATGTTTCCAACCATGTGAAAAAAAAAAAACAAAAATTTTAACATCCTAACACGAAAAATCTCAATATACTCAACGATTATTATATTAACCTTTGATTTGATAAATTTTAGCTAGAGATGTTTAAGCTTCACAACTTAAATAAGTTTGAGTTAATTAAGCCAATAGTTAAAAATATGAATTTGCATTATATATGTATTTAGATTATGCAAAGGAATAACTTATAGAAACTTGAGATTGTATATAACCAATATTTGGGTTTTAAAGTTAAAAAAACATAGGTTTCATAAATTTGAGTTAATGTAAACCTAAGATGGGATGATATAGCTATTAACKTGTGAGATTAGCAAAATTTTAAGTTTGAGAGAAACAAATTTGCATATAAATATAAACTCAGTTTCTATATATTACGAATTATAAACTTAAATGATGAATCAACTATCTCATTGGTGAAGTGAGTATAGCTCAGTGATAATTGACATATATCTCCAACTAAAAGAYTATAAATTCAATCCTCCACCCTCACATGTTGTATAAAAAAAATTGTCTCATCAATCTGATTAATTGAGGGRAAGACGATCSATCATTCAGTGCACAATTTAATTTTCTTCTCTTTAATCCCAAGTAAATCCAAAAATTAAACTGCACTAAATTAGCAGCTGATTCGGATATTTAGTTTGAAAAATCAAACTAATGCCAGAAAGGAAAGACTACTATTCCAAAACACAAAATCCTATTATTATTATTATTTTTGGAAAAGAAATTAGTCCCATTAGGTAGTGAAGAATGATAAATTCGAATTGACATTCAGGGCCTTCAACCATTCTAGGGTTTACTTAGGACAGAGGAAAGGAAAAGCTTTTGTCATTTAAAACTTTTGGAGGGGCATTTTTGAAACCTTTTAATTTTATGGGGGATGAGAAGTTTTTTTAAAGTTCAATTATGATTGAATTCAAACTTATGGGAATAATAAAACATAACATTTACAATAATATCAGAATATAATGTGTTAGTCGAAACACAAACGAAGTTGAGAGTAATTATATATATGTATAGAAGACTAAGCGAACTATATATATATAGACAAAGTTGTATAAAGCTAGACCCGACAGGCAACAACATCACATGCTTTTACATCACAAGTCTAAGACATGATTAGATCTAGGACAGGACCAAATCTAGGGCATGACCAGGTCCCAATCGATCAAGTTCGACCGACCAGTTCTCAGCCACCTGTCGAGAACTCCGGCAAAACCCTCCAACGGCCCTATGGAGGTGGGTTCGAAGCTACCCTACTTGATAAAAGTCTATTGCAGGCCACCTGTCCCTTGATTCAATATTCGACTCATTACACACATACAAATTTGAATGGTCCATTCTTTTTATTGGATTAGATTCGAACTAGGATTAGATTAGAATAGAATTATAATATATATGTAAATATTGAAAACCCTCTCTTTAATTTGAATGGTCCATTCTTTTTACTTGTTTTTCTTCTATTATTGCAATTAGGTTGGTTGTAAGTCAAATTTTGCATCTAAATCAATTCCCAAAGTTCATCCATATCTACTACCTATGTAATTATTATTATTATTATTATTATTTTTGAATGTTGAGAAAGTTGCTACTTACTTTTCTATCTATAAGTAGTGGTTTATATTGACGATAAACTTAAAACAATAATGAGAAAAAATAACATCTCCTTGATTCATTTAGTCAAATCATCACTGAAATATAATAACATCCACACTTAAACTAAATATATTTTTCTAAAAATGATTTTGACAATGAGTTAAATATGTTGCTTAGAGTGTTTTTAATTATTTCTACAAAAATTTCCCAATTTCTTTAATCCTGCACTTTCATTCTTTAGAATATCATCATCTAACTAAATTGATTACTTTCAAGTCGTAGTTAATATAAATTGATTGATGAACTTCTTTGACTAAGTTAAAGAAAATATTAAATTGAAATTGTTTTCACTAAAAGAGAATAAAAGAGAAAATTATTGATCTTAATTACTACTGATATAATTCCAACTTCACCTTGGAAATTTGGATAAGACCTTTTATAAGTGTAACTATAGCTAGGTCTTGTAATCTAACAAATGGGCTTAGATAATGAAAGTTTAGTGAGGCCGAAATTGTGTGCAACATTGGGTTCCTTCTCATATGTCAACGATTTCTATTAGTAGATTAAATTTTAAATAATTATTYTTTTATATATTCATGAATGTTCGAACCAGCTTATATGCACATCGWCTACTCTGACATATATCAAAACTTCAATAATTTAACCTATGATTTGAGCATAGATGCAATTTAATGACATAGCTAAACTAGCAAAACCCTGCTAATGTCTATATTCATAATTTCTTCCCTGAAATTTACAATTAATTTAGGTAATCGTACTAATAAAAAAATGTTTATTTAATTTTTAGAGATAGAGACTAAAATAAAACAAATAAAATATATGGAGAAAATGTTTAATGTTTGGCTCATAGTGATGATACACTTGCAGATTAAAATTTTGGAATAAGTCACAAAAGTCTAGGTGATAGGTGATATGTATTTTAGTCTGTTGATTTCTTTTGTAAAATTTAGAATGTAACTTTAAAAATTAAGTTTTGTGAGTATATGTATGATGTAAATAAACCATACACACTAAATATAATTTTTTTTTTCTTATAATGGGTGTCTTTAAATTCAGATAAAACATTACCAAAATAGTATTAAAAAACAATTATAAATAAAACAAAAAAAAAAAAGAAATCTATATGATCACATTTTGCATGAGGAAACTCAAAGTTTTAGATAGGACCCACTAACTAATAATAAGAGAGTAATAATTATTGCGTATAATACGCGAATATAGCAAACCTGAATGACACGTGGCGGTAGAAGAGTGGACCAGCATTGGAGAAGGAAAGAGAAATGAGAATCACGCGCGGACGTGAAAGTCAGATTCCAATTCAGTTGATGAACCCACGTTATCCAAAATCCCCATTAACTCCACATGTGCGGTGTGCCCCCACACTTTTAACTCCCACGCTCCCCTCCACCGCGTGATTTACCATTTACCATCTTATATTTAATACAAAAAAATCAAACCATTTATTTTAGCCTTAGTATATATTTTACTCTTTATTATTTTAAAAATTTTCAATTTAATTTCTTGCCTCTTAATATTTTTTTTTATATCATTGATGAATGTTAAAATTAGTTGATGATGTATTTCAATCGCATGAATATTATATAAGTTTACAGAAATTTAGATAACCTAATTGATGAAAGTTATTGTCAAAATAATAATAATAATACAATTATTAAAAGAAAAATTAGTACCTCTTTTAAATTTTTAAAAATGAAAAAAAAAGCTCAATTATCCTACTACTAGATGGCCTAATTTCTCATTAAAATGTTTTTTCAATATTACTAAACATCATGCAATATAAAGTTAATATTAACCAATTTCGACGTTCATCAAACAAAAACTGTATAATTAAAAAATATTAAACACATTTAATTTAATACGGATTAATTCTATTAACCTAACTTATTTGTGCAGCTTTAGATCTCTGTTAGAACATGGCTTAATTAGGTACCTAATCCAGCTTTAGTATCACTTGATAAAGAAGACTTGTATAAAAGAAGCAATAGACACTTTTGATGTTCAAATCAGTTTAAGTTCAACTTAAATATTAAGACCGAGTTAGAATATGATACATAATACTACAGCGAGGCTATTTATTTATAGGTCGGGTGTCATAGACAATTTCAACTGTTGGATAGTTTGCTACTGAAAGTCGGCCTGTCGAGTGCGCAAGTTTGGAGATGGAACAAAATCTCTCCAATCGAGTGAGATTTTACCTAGATGGTTATTCTAGGACCAAATACAAAGGCCGTCAATTCCTCCAACTTTTTCAGGGAAAGACACGATCTTTCGACCTTCCTCCGTTCTACACGTGGTAAAGATTTTTTTTACCTCTAACGTACCATAAAAGCCACAAAACCCGCAGTAACAATGAAAAAATATATTTAGCATTTATTTTAGTCCAGTAGAGAAATTTAGCTGTTGCTTAAGAAAATAATACAGGGTCGTGAGTTCCACGGCAAACGTCGGGCGCGTGTTCTAACTATTTTATTCGCAAAAAGAGATGATTTTGAGAGCTAAACGCGGCTAATGGTTTCTAACACGTTGTTCGTCGGTTAAGGCCCGAGAAAATTGGAAAATACGATTGCAGGCTGAAATTTTGGTAAAATTTTCTTTTATCTGATTACTTTTTTTATTTATTTCATTCATTGGATGTAACTTGTAAGAGAGAAATCGGGTTATTTTATTTTTCTACGATTTATTTGTTAACAAAATTTCTGGGGAACTTGTGAATACAGAGATACCCATCACGGATTGGTGGAACTCTTTGCTTCATGAAGTTTCTGTCCCTCGTGATTTAACTAAATGCGTCTACTCTGAAGAGAGAGAGAGAGAGACAAAAAAAAAAAGTTCATTGAAGAATTTGTACTCCCAAAGGAAGCGTATCGAAGACAAGCGATTTTGGAGAGCACTCGAAGATGGAAAACGAAGTGGCGGTGGAGAGCAAAGAACCGCTTCAAAATCCAGTTGAAGGAGCTCCAGATGAAGCTGCCGTTGCTTCTGTGGAACTTCCAGCTCCACCCGCTTGGAAGAAACTGGTTTTTCTCACTCTCTTGAGCTTTCTCGTTCTTTTTGATTGTTTCTCTCTCTTGTTTGAGTTAGTTTTGTTTCTGGGTCTCTCTAATTCTTGCTCAATTTTCAGATTTTTTCTCGTTGCATCACTCTTTCTTTGTGAATTGTGCTCTGGGATTGCTTGCTGCTGAGTTTTAGTTCTAGGGTTTGTCGATTTAATCGCTCTTTGCCTTTACGCTTACTCTTAGGGTTTTTCCCCAATTTAAGACGCATTCAGTTTAGAAATTTGGTAGATGTAGCTATGGTTTCTGCCTTTCTCATACTATTTATGGCCTGAGGAACTATTCTGCTTTAGGACAGATGAAATTGAGGGGGAAGAGACGGGAAATTAAAGATTTGGGTGTTTTTTTAAACCTAAAATCCATATTCCCTTGACTGAGAATAAGGGTTGTGAAAAATATGAACGATTTGCTAGTTCCCCAAAGAAATGCATTTCTTTTGCAATTGTCATTTGAGAGAGAGAGAGAGAGAGAGAGAGAGAGAGAGAGAGAGAGAGAGAGAGAGAGAGAGGAGGAGGAGGATTGTGTAAACGATGCTGTAAACTTGAAACTGTAAAGTATACTTCGGTATCCTGAGACGCCGTGGAGTGTTTTCTGTTAATGTCTCTGGTTCCACTGCCATTCCTCTGCACCCTCCAATGGAGGAGTCATGGCAATCGTGTTTGAAGCCGTGATTTCAGGTACAAGTTTCAGATGTATGTCGAGAAAGAAATCCGATTATGAACTAGACAATGAAGATGAGGAATTGGTAGTCTCGAACTTAAGCTTTAATCAGGAGATAAACTTTAAGCTTTCGCAGTTGTGCATAGCAATAACGATACTGTTTTGAACTCCAATCGTGCCCTGTCTTTTAGAGCCTTATTTGATATTTTTGTTTCTTATGTTCTTAATCTACAAACTGGGATACAAAACCATCTATGTAAAGAGCTTCGATAATTTTCTTCTCTTTTTTTTCTTTCTCGTTTTCCACTTTTAAGATGACAGTCAAAATGCTTCATATTATATTAAATACATTCTTTTGCAGTTTGTACCCAGGAAGGGAGGTGCACCAAAAAAGAATGAGATCGTATTTGTAGCACCAACTGGTGAGGAGATCAGTACTAGAAAACAGCTCGAGCAGTACTTAAAATCGCACCCTGGACATGTTGCAATATCGGATTTCGATTGGAGTACTGGTGAGACACCTAGGAGATCTGCCAGGATTAGTGAGAAGGCCAAGGCAAMTCCACCACAGGAAGAGCCCTCAAGGAAACGAGCTAGAAGATCGCCAGGTTCAAAGAAGAAGGAACACAATGAAATGGAGAAGGGTGCAGAGGAAACTGATATTAAAGATGCTGAAATGTCGGAGAAGGTTCATGCTGAAACTGAGAAAGAAAAGGAAGACTCCAAGGATGAAGAGCCTAAAAATGAAGATGAAACAAAAGAAAAGGAAATTGAAACTGCCAAGGATGAAGAGGCCAAGAAGGAAGATGAAGAAACAAAAGAAACTGAACAGAGAAACACCACAGAGGTGGAAACCTTCCAAAATAGGAAAGAGGACACTTGCATTGAAAACGTGCCTAGCGACAAAACAAAAACCAAGAACGGTCAGTTAGATGCTGAAGATGGAAAAGAAGCGGAAGATCAAAGTCATGGGCATGTTCAAATTCGAGAGGTTGCCACAGTTTGCGAAAATGTGGCATTGGAGGTTGGTCAAGAGAAAGGGGAAAACATATCACAAACTGAAGCTGAAAAGGATATTGATTCCTGCTGTATGAAACAGGACAAACCAGACGTTGGTAATATTAAGGAAAATGGAACTGGAATAACACCAGCATCCGAGGGAGCAATCACGGAACACGAAGACGCACAAAAGCACGAGGGAAAACACGACGTACAGGCCAAGAACAGAGGGAATATAAACGAAAACGAGGTGACTGAAAACGGTAAGTAAACCAAGTCAGATATCTCCAATACCCCCATCACAACTTGCACAGCCACATGGACTTGCCACCACCCTTTTGTCAGTTGCTGGCTTTCTCCTTTTGTAACTTTGAAATTGCTGCAATGACTGTAATTTTAATGTTGTTAAGGCTAGACTTGGCTGCAAAAAGAAAATTTAACCTATTCTAATGGTAGATAAGATGTAGTTTTTTCTTCTTCTCTCTCTGTTTTTCGTTTTTTTGGCTGACATCAGGCATTTGTATCAGTTAGATCATAATAAATGAAGTAGAAGAAGTTTCCCAATACTCTGCCTCTCTTGATTTCTCAATGTTGAAAGTTTTGTAGCCTTGCCCTCCAAGCCTAGCTTTGGCTTGGACAAGATGGGGGAAGAATGGCTGCTGCTGACTTGGTATTCTTAGCCAGTGAATTTAATGAGTGGTCCTTATCATGGCACCGAATTAATTGATTTTTCTTTGTGAGGAACAGTCAAGTAATCAGGAGCGACCATATCGTACCATTATGAAAATATCGAGAGACTCATTTCCTTCACCTAACGTGCGCGATGTCTGAAAGCAGCAAGTCTTGAGTTGGTAAGCGATAGTCCTCGCCATGGTTTTGGAAATTTAGCGACTTCCCGAAAAGCCAATCTCAAGGACTTGGAACATTCAGAATCAAAGAAAAAGAGGGCAGCAACAGAGTTCAGAGAGAGAAAATAGCAAAGTTGGAAAAGAAAACCAAAGATGAAATGGGAAAACAGGCAGTCCAAAATCATGTTTAGGAAGTTTCTTGGAAGCACACCTCAAGAATTTTTGTAATGGACCCAGAAATTTCTTCGATAAAGTTGCTACATTTTTTATTCTTATTTGCATGCCACAATTCACATGCTATGAAAAAAAAAGTATTAGTTGCTTTTGAAATAGCCAATAACAGATCTTATGATAAATGTGCAGACTTGTAAACAATTGGTTATAGGGGGTCGTGCATGAAATCGAAATCCAAAATACCTAATTTTTCAGTTATAAAAAAATCTTGTCGGACATCAATTGTGGTCTTCAATAAACCATATCAAAATTTGAAAAAATTGTTAATTTATAGTTAGAGTTTCTTTCTATGCAATATTTTTTTCAAAGAATCCCTAATTTAAATTTAAAAGCACTTACTCCCTATAAAATATTTTTATTTTAATTAGTTATAAGTTCAATTGAACTTTCAGTCATGTCTAATAAATCATTTAAAAAGTATATAATTTGTTTCATAAAATTTCAACGATGGTCAAACAATTTCAATTTTGTGTCTATAAATTTATAAATAATATCGAATATGTCAGAAACTCGTAAGACACAAGATAAAAGATTCACATACATGTTTTTAAGCATTCAGAGATCTAATAAATACGAAACTAAAAATTGAAAGCTGTATTAGGTATTTTTTTAAAGTTCAACATCTATTAGCAACATTAGAAATTTATAAACTAAATTTGTAATCTTTTAATTATCGTTTCGGACCTTTCAAAATCCATTTCAAATTCATTTAATTTAGTTTTGTTCACCACCCTTGAAACCAAACCATATGAACACTCAAACTTTTTTTTTTTTCCTGGAAAGAAGCTTAGTTTAGTTTAATTTGCCCACAGCAAAATGTACAATCACTATTTGGTCTGAAATGAAACCAAATCAATGTTTGAAGTTTGAACACTCTCACATTTGAAAAAAGCATCCACAAACAAAACAAGTCTCCAAAATCTGAATTAAAAAAATCCACAAGAATTAAGACTAAATTTAGATTAGGCACCAAATTCCACGATTTCAATTTGAAATTTGAAGCTCGTAAACGAAAATCCGTCTGTGTGTGTGTTTTGTTTTGTCATGTTTCCAGTTGGCAGCACCCCATCGTTGATCATTCTAAAGCTTTGATTTTTCTAATCCGTGACAAACAAAAAGTACTTGTGGTTGGAGCCTCTGGTTTGACCGGCGTCCATCAAAGGCGGGCAAACTTCGTCCCAAAGCCGCGTCTAAATTAAGAACTTTCTTCTCTTTACTTTTCCTACCCATTTTTTGGCATTATAAATTCTCCTACGATCTCCCATCGATTCCCATCATCGACTCCTTTCAGTTTACAGCGGAAGAAAAAGAGGAAACACAGGGATGGCCGCCGCCGGGAAGATCGCTCTTGTTCTGGGCTTCGCCCTTTTCGTGTTTCTTCTTCAAAACGCCGCCGCTCAGACGGTTCACATCGTCGGCGACGCCACCGGCTGGGCCGCCCCCCAAAACGGCGCCGATTTCTACGCCAAGTGGGCCGCTGGAAAAAAGTTCGTTGTCGGTGATTCTCTTGGTACGGAAAAAAACCCAATTTTTATGAACTCCTCTGTTTCTTGTTCTTGTTCTTGTTCTTGCCCTCCCCCTGTTTTTCCTCTGCTTTCTAATTCTTTTGGTGTTTTTGTTTGTTGCAGTGTTCAATTTTACGGGTGATGACAACGATGTTGCGCAAGTAACGAAAGTTTCGTTCGATTCGTGTAGTGATGATGATGAGATTGGGGACGACTTTGACCACAGCCCTGCAACTATTGTTCTCAAGTCTCCCGGCGAGCATTACTTTATTTGTACTAACGATCGGCGTTGCGTCCTCGGCCAGAAAATGGCGATCAATGTCTCCGCCGCCTCCGGACCCGCCGCCCCTAAACCCGCCGGTCCGCCCTCTGCTACGCCGGTTCCCGGGAAAACCCCGGTGACCCATGTCGTCGGAGATGCTGCAGGCTGGGCTATTCCAAAGGGCGGTGCCGCTTTCTACGCCACCTGGGCTGCTGGAAAGACCTTTACCGTTGGCGATTCTCTCGGTAAGAATGGGTTCTAATTCGATTTTTTTTTTAAATTTCTGTTTCAAAAATTTTGAAGAATTTGTTGTTGTTTCAGTGTTCAACTTCGCAACCAACGCACACGATGTCGTGAGGGTACCAAAAGCATCGTTCGATGCGTGTAGCGACGACGACGAGATCGGCAGAGACATTGAAATCAGCCCTGCAACCGTCCTCCTCTCCATCCCCGGCGAGTATTACTTCATCAGCTCCAAGGATGGGCAGTGCCAGCAAGGGATGAAATTAGCTATCAATGTCACCGGCGCCGCCGCATCTGGGCCGGCGGCTCCCCCTACCACCACTCGTCCAGCACCACCGGTGAGCCATATCGTCGGTGACGCCACAGGTTGGTCCGTCCCACAAGGCGATCCAGCTTTCTACGCCAAGTGGGCCGCCGGAAAGACATTCGCCGTCGGGGATTCTCTGGGTAAGAACAAGAACCCAGTTTTAATTTTGGGTTTGACTAGTCGTTATTCATTGGCTGGAGTTCGAGTGTTCGAATTCTGCCTTATTATTTCGTCCGATTAATAGTTATTTTCGATCTACCCAAACCATCTACTTACGCTTTTGAATCGAGTGAGTTGAATCTGATTTCAATTTCGGTTGTTGCAGTGTTCAATTTCAGAACCGATGTGCACGACGTGGAAAGAGTACCAAAAGCATCCTTCGATGTATGTAGCGATGACAACGAGATCGGCGAGAGCCTCGAAATCGGGCCGGCGACGGTGTTCCTCTCGACTCCCGGCGAGTATTACTTCATCTGCACTAAGGATGGGCACTGCCTGGGAGGCCAGAAATTAGCAATCAATGTCACCGCCACAAGGTCCACCTCCGCCGCTAACTCCCCCGGCGGCTCACCGTCCACCGGCGCCGGAGGCCCACAAACCGCTTCTCCACCGGGCTCCTCCGCGAACGCCGTCGCCGCCGCTCTCTCCGTCACATTGCTCGGCGTCGTTATGAGCCTATTCTAGAAACACTGCGACTTCTGTAGCGTAGCTGATTTCTTTTTTATTTTTTATTTTTCTCTTTTGTTGCTTTTTGATTATTTGGCTGTCGCAGCCACTGTTGTGTGTCCACCTGTCATCTTGTATTTTGTCATTTCATTATTTTCATATATATAAATAAATGACATTACTTTACTTATTACTAGTATTTGTGTATTATTCATTATTTTATTCTCGTTTTTTTTTATCTGATTGGATTACGTTAATACCTTACCATTTCGGGTTAAAATTTCTAATATTTTGTAATTAAAAAAGAATATTTGAGTAGAATAATCTTTGAATTATGTCTTCATTTTCTTATCCTTTTATCTTTCAACACGTTGACAGCTTTAATTTAAGACTTGACTTTTACGTGTGTGTGTGTGTTTTTTTTAAGCATTTAAGACTGACTTCTGTAAGTCAAAAGTTTTAATTTATTTTTCTTATCTTCAATGAATCATGGCTGTCGTGGAAATTCAAAGATTTATATAAAATATACTGTACGAAAAAGTACGTGACTTTTTGGGTATCTTTTGTGAGATGTTTTTATGTGGGTCCCACATTTATTAATATGATTTAATGAGTGAATAACTTTTTGATATAATAATTAAAAAAAATTGAATTAATCCAATTTTTTTAATAAAAAAAATATAATCAATTAATTAATAATGTTTGAAATAATTTCAGTAGGTCTGCAAATTATTTAATATGGTAATATTTGTGATTTTAACGGTAATTGACATATACCTCCATTTGAGAAGGTGTGAGTACGATCTTCCATCCCTACATGTTGTACTTTAAAAAAATATTTCTTATAGCTCGTTTTTTTCATTATCTATGGTACAAAGTTATGTCATAGAAGTCATTAAGCCCATTCTCTAATAGTGTATAACAAAACTCTAATTTATAGACATCTTGAAAATTTAGAAGCTAAACTAATCGAATTAATCTCAAAGTATAGAGGTTTAGTACAAAACTAAAGAGACTTGGAGAATAGTTAATTAGAGATCATATATTTATTTAATTATCAATCTTTTACTCTAACTTAATAGAATTTTGAATTGATTTTCACTGAAATAGTGGGTTTTCATAGATTTCTTTATTGTAACGAAAATCAAACAAACAAAAAATTGTAACACTTATAATTGGAATGAAATTGAAAGTTTTAAAGTAAAAGATTGATTAATTCAGTGTAAAAATTGAATTTCCTCTACTACACCGGGAAGAAAAAATATAGATATAAGAGAGGAGACTTGGGAAAATTCAAGAGCAATGGAACTTTTTCACTTTAATTTGGAGTCTCAAAAGCCCAATTTGTACGCTTTTGCCTTTCTAACTTTGACCAGTTAAAAGTTTTTCCCTTATTATTATTTTATTTTATCAAATAAAGATCGAATATATGTCCATTTTCGAGTGGTGTGAGGAAGCTATTCAAAGTAGTCCTCCCTTTCGACAACATATCCAGACGTCCTCCTCTATTAGTTGCTATTAATACGAATAACAAAAACTCTACTACGATCGATYTACGATAAAAAAGAATAAACATTTTACAATCGAGTGAGGGACTAAAAAAGGATCTCCCCAGTGATTAAATTAATTTGAATTCATCAACTTAAAGTTTTTGGATTGAATGATAATTTATCAGTTTTAAAAGGTACTAGAGCGGGTATCCGCTCTAAAGAACTTAGAAGGTAAATAATTAAATTTACCATAAATAATTTTAATCCATTTTTGTCCGCTCAATTTTTTTTTCCTCTTGCTCACTCGGACTTTTTCTTTTTTCTCTATATATTTTCCCCTTTCTTNTTCATTTTTATCACCCTTAACCGCTTTTTCTCTCTTAACTTTTTCATCATTTTATCAATTAAATTTGTCTCAAACTCTTTGTGACTTTTTCATGTCTTTTTTTCCCTTTAAAATTTACTTATGATTAAACAAAATCATTTCTAAAAGTTTAAATTGATTTATCTGGAGAATTTTTGTTACATAATCGCCCTCATGACTCTTCAGAATGACTTTATAATTAACTTGTTGATCTTCTAAACCCTGCTCTAAATTTTCTCCAGTTTTTTATCCATTGTATGGATCTTGATCCAAGCTATGCATTTTGATTCCTTTTTTGGATGAGTTAAATGGTGAATAACCAGTAGAATTTTTTATAGGCTTCCAGTGGGTTTGGACCTATTTGATTTCAAGTCCAATAACACATGACATTGATTGGGCCAACCTATGTCAAATGTGACCAAGATTTGTCACATGACCATGGCGTAATTTTGATTGCTACAACTCAAATGGCCAAAATAAAAACATTACTTAATTAGTCCATTTTTAAATTTCTTTTAATTTATGGTTTGRGGACACTTYGTTGAATTTTGATCTGTTTACACGACAATTTTTTATTAACCAAAATTTACGTAATGAAAGGGAAAAACTACAACATTTATTTGAGCATAGAAGTTGAATTTGATAAAAAAAAATTAAAATTCATGTAAAAATGGATTTATGTTCGCAAGAAAATATCTCGAAAAACCTATGAAGCTACTTAAAAGAATAAGTTTTCTCAGCCACTCCCACAAACGGATTGCAGGTTACACAAGAACCACCCATGGCCGCTCAATGTGCAGCTGCAGAGTCTTTGGCCGCGCAATGTGCACACTAGGCAAGCGCTGGTTTTGACAGCCTAAAGGGTCATTTGTTGCTCGAATTTTACCTCGATTGCCCACGTTTGAAATGTGTCTTATTTRGGTTCGTGCTTGCTTTGGTAAATTCACCCTCACTAAAAATTATTTCTTTTGTAAAAATCAATTCATGATCGTAAAAAAGAAAATATCTCGAAAAATCTAGGAAGCAGAAGAATAAATTTTCTAGGCCACTCGGACAAATGGGAAAAGAAGAATGAAGAAAAAAAAAGGTTGAGAGGAGACTTGGAAAAATTGAAAGAGAGTAGGTGAGAATTATTAATTTGGGTACGACCCTCTCTCGCCCTCGGTTGATTTAGTCTCTTCTTTCCACTTYTGGAGTCTCAAAGCCCCAACTTGTACGCAATTTTATGCTTTGCCTTTGATTTTGTCTGCTACATGGCACCTTCCATTGCATGCCCTCTTCAATTTCCTAATCTCCATTGCCAAAATTCTCTATAAATTGTACATCCCATTTCACTCAACAATCACACACAAGTTCCGAAGGAGGAAACAGAGTACCTAATTAATTGTTCTTCAGAGCTTAATTCCATTATTTTAGTGTGAGAAAAATCTGCAGATATGGCCGGCGGAGTCATTGCTTTGGTTTTGGGTTTTGTTGCGGCGGTTTTAGCTCAACAGGCCGCCGCTCAAACGGTGCACGTTGTCGGAGACGCCACCGGCTGGACGGTCCCGCAGGGCGGCGCTACTTTCTACTCCGACTGGGCTGCTAGAAGGAACTTTGTCGCTGGCGATTCACTCAGTAACAGCTTTCTCAACCCTTTTTCTTCTTAAATTATGTCTAATACATCCTCGGGAATGATATCAAGGATTAATAAATATTTCCCATATCTTGTTTAATRWWYATTAAACAAAAAGAAATATTTGGCTTTGTCCCCACCTTGTCAACTCATTATCTTTTTTGAAAAAATCTCTCTTTTTACCTCCCTCGCGGCGCTTAATTTTCAAACATGAAAGGGTTGTAAAGACAAGATTTATTCCCTTAGATGAAAAGTAAGTATTTTTCAAAAAATAATATCATCAATTAGTGGCCAATATAAATACATAAATAATTAAGGTAAAAATCACTATTATTTTAAAATGACACGTTTGACCATAATTCTCGAATGATCCAAAATCATTTGAGTGATTCTTGATAGTTGTCTAAGTGATTCTCAGACAATCACTCCAGACGTGATTTCCATATGATTTTTTTTATAAAAATGAATGACAGGAAATTAATTTTTGGAAGGGTTATTGTTTTAAATTTCAAAATTTTATTTCTATCTCACCTATTTTCACCTTTTCATTTTATCATTTTAAAAATTTTTGTCATTCCCCAATTTTATTTATTTTAATTAATCTTTTTCTCTAAAAACTTTGTGGTAAACTCACCCTAAATTCTTTATCTCCCATCTCTTTCAAAACTTTATTTCATATCCAAACTTTTTGTCTTCCACCTCTAAAATTTCCACCTCCAGGAGTTTGTTACTCTCTAACTTTTCTCTTTTCAAAATTTTTACCAAATTCCATCTTTAAATTTTAAATATTAAAAATCACTTAAAAAAAATGTATAAATCAAACATTTGAATAATTATATAAAAACCAATCTCAACAAAAATCAATTATCATCAAACCTATTGTTGGCTAGAATCATTCATTCTAAAATTATTTTCAGGCAGGCTTCAAAATAAACTTGGAACTTATAAATTAAGCTGAATTTAATTGAAAATGATGATTTGTTAATAATTAGTTTTCGTAACCGTTTTTCTGTTATTGCAGCGTTTACCTTCGGAACGAACGCGCACGATGTACTCGAAGTTACGAAAGAGTCCTTTGACGCGTGCAGTTCCGACAACGCCATCGGAAACGTCATCACGACGGGTCCGGCGACGGTGAAGCTCAACGCCGCCGGCGTTCATTATTACATCTGTACCGTCGGTAGACACTGCCTTGGAGGCCAAAAGTTATCCATCACCGTCTCCGCCACTCCCGGCGGCGCCGGTCCTTCTCCAAACACTCCTCGCCCGCCGCCGGCAACAACTCCTTCCCACGCCAACGACGACGCCTGTGCTCCGGCTGGATCGCCGTCTTCTTCACCACCTAACGGCGGCGGATCTCAATCGGCTCCGCCGCCTTCCTCCTCTTCTGCAGTGATGGCAAGCATTTTTGTCACTCTGTCCGCCATTGTTATGAGCTTCTGTTAATTTAGATCTGGATTTTGCGTTTGATTTGACTCGTTTTTTCAGATTATTCATAATGGTGAGAGGTTGTTCATTTGTTGAGTGCTATTTAGTTTTTTGAGGGTTGAGATTCATGATGAGATTTCAGTTGTATTCCAATAAATTTTATTAGTTTTTTTCATAACTAATTTTCGCTTTATTTTTACGACTTTTTAATATTTTTTAAATTTTCTTTGCACTTTTCCTTGGGGCGAAAAAATTAACGCAAGACAAAATAAGGGAGTAAATAAATTGACTCGATGATTTAAAGGAGTCAAGGCAGCAGCCCGTGAACTTAGAAACAATTATATATTATTGAATTATTTTAACAAAATTCTAAATCTAATTTAAAATCTATTTGACTTCAAATGCTCATTAGTTATTCCTATGTATATTTATTAACCAACAACGGAAATAAAATAAAATAAAAACCAGAAACGATAAATAAAAGATGTGTTTATGTCAAGCTTTTGTTAAATATTTTAATAAAAATTCATGACAAAAAAACAAATAACTATTTTGTCCCATACTTGAGTCTAAAACCAAAATATTCAGAAGGTTGTGAACAAAATAATAAAACAAGCATAAAATTTTTGAAGAAAAATAAGATTTAGACCAAGAATTTTATTACACGTTTTCTTCGGAAATTTTGTTATAAAAATATATTTTGTTTATTTTCATATAGTTGAGATTTTGTTTTTTTTGACATTATATAGTTGAACTTTAATATACGTTCAATTTAAATTTTKTTTATTTAATTTACAGTATAAATTAAAATAAATATTTATGTAGTGGAAATTGACAATCAAGTTAAGGGAAAAATATGTCATCAAAGTCTAAGAAAGGCTTAAAAAAATTCTACTTTCAATCCTTAACGAAGTAAGTGTTTGATCAAGATTTTCACCATGTTTGCGAACCTCGACTCGGACAGATATTGGTTCAACTGATGAGTTGAGAGGTTGGCAAGTAGGAGACCTGCAAAAGAAAAAATACACTCTCACGTCCAAGTTAGTGAATCACCGAACTATACCCGAGAGAGAATATAATTTCGTATACCTTGAGAATGAGGCGGGAGATATCTATTTATAGRCGGAGCTTCCGGCAGGGCGTTCGACAAGCCTCCAACGGCTCTTTAAGGTTYTGGAGATCATGGCGTGTTTTCGTAGAAGATGTCGGAGATTGATTCATGAAGAAGTGTCCTTTGATCGGTGCAGCTGATTATTAGGTTGCCGAAGTAATAGGGTGATGGTTCAGCTCAGCTTGAATCCTAAATAGTCGAGGTGAGATGGAGGTCGACTCAGGTCCCAAAGATGAGACTCGAGGCAAAAATCTCTTCCCTGCATTAGTTCATATGCTATGTCATCGTTGTTATCTCATTAGAGGCTGTCAAGTGGTCAACGAATCATCTCCATACTTTAACCAACCAAATTGAGTTTGAGCCCGTTCGATTGATCATCGTAAATTTATTCTTAATATTTCCACGGAGTTTGAGCCCGTYTATTTTTATCAGGCCGTTCRGTTTCCACAATGGTGTAAGGCTATGGATAATGAGCTTGCTGCCATGGAACGCACTAACACTTGGTCCGTTGTTCCCCTTCCTCACGGTCAGCATGCTATTGGTTGCAAATGGGTGTATCGTGTAAAATATCAGGCTGATGACACCGTGGATCGTTACAAGGCTCGTCTTGTCGCCAAGGGATATAGTCAACAAGAAGGTATTGATTTTATTGACACCTTTTCCCCTGTTGCCAAGATTGTGACGGTAAAAGTTCTGTTAACTTTGTCAGCTTCATATGATTGGCCTTTAGCTCAAATGGACGTTAACAATGCATTTCTCAATGGGGATTTATTTGAGGAAGTGTACATGTCTTTACCTCCTGGTTACACACCCTCTTCTATCAGTAAGGGGGAGTCTCTTGTTTGCAAACTAAATAAGTCTATTTATGGTTTAAAACAGGCATCTCGTCAGTGGTTTACCAAGTTCTCTCATGCCTTAATTTCAAATGGCTTGATTCARTCTCGTTCTGATTACTCTTTGTTTACTCGTGGTCATGGATCTTCTTTTGTTGCTTTATTAGTATATGTTGATGACATTATTTTGACTGGACCATCTTCTGTTGAACTTGATTCTGTTAAGTCTGTTCTGCGGTCATATTTCCAGCTTAAGGATTTGGGTTCTGTTCGATATTTTCTTGGTTTGGAAATATCTCGCTCTTCTCGTGGTATCTCTCTATCTCAACGGAAATATTGTCTTCACATTCTTGAAGACACTGGTTTTTTGGGGGCTCGTCCTGCTGTTTCTCCTATGGATCCAAATCTTAAGCTTGCCAAATCTGTTGGTGAACCTCTTTCTGATAAAGAGGCTACTTCATATCGTTGTCTCCTTGGTCGGTTGCTCTATTTGCAGATTTCTCGTCCGTATATTTCATTTTCCGTTCATAAGCTCAGCCARTTTTTACACCAACCTTGTTCTGGCCACCTAGATGTTGTCCATCATCTGTTATGATATCTTAAAGGCTCTCCCGGTCAGGGTATCTTATTACGGAAGTCTACTTCTTTTAATCTTCGAGTTTTTGTTGATGCTGATTGGGGTTCTTGCTTAGACACGCGTCGTTCTATCACCGGTTTCTGTGTGTTTCTTGGAGAATCCTTGATCTCTTGGCGCTGTAAGAAGCAGCCMACTGTTTCTCGGTCTTCTACTGAAGCTGAATATCGTGCTTTGGCCAGTGTCACTAGTGAGTTGGTCTGGATTCATCAGCTACTTTCTAACTTGTTTGTTCCCTTTTCTGYACCCGCGGTGGTTTATTGTGATAACCAGGCAGCTGTGTCAATTGCTTCCAATCCGACTTTTCACGAGCGCACCAAACATATCGAGATCGATTGCCATTTTKTACGTGACAAGATATCTGATGGATTTTTGAAACTCTTGCCTATTCGTTCTAGCTCCCAGTTGGCTGACATGTTTACAAAGGCTTTGGGATCTCCTACTCTCAAGTTTCTAATGTCYAAGATGGGTGTTTATAATATTTACACTCCATCTTGARGGGGAGTATTAGATTTAAATTTAACTATAGTTTGTTATATGTGGTTTAATTAATCTAGGTTGGAGTTAAACGGTTCACTTTGTTACAGTTTGTTACGAACTTGATTGTATACATAGATTATGTGACTCTGTATTAAACAAGAAGAGAAAAGTATTTCAACAAAGATTCAAACTTCTCCCTCTTCCATTTATTACGTATTAGTTATAGATAAGAAAATAAGGAATCAAAAAAAGTTTTGAGCACATGCAGGAAGATAAATAACGCACACATTTAATCTAAATTATGAATATTTATTGAAAATATATTTTAATTTTATTACAAAGATCCATTGTCATCAAGGCATTAGCATTTGCTTTCGCATCTTCAAATTTTTCTTCAACATTTCAATTTTAAAATACTATAAATAGAGAATGTGGAAAAATGAGAGTATTAAATTAAGTTTTAGGCACCGAATCGGAGAAACCAACAATGGCCGGCAGAGCTGCCTTAATCACTGGATTTCTTCTGGCGGTGTTTCTGCACCACGCCGCCGCAGACGAAGTCCACGTCGTCGGAGATTTAATCGGTTGGAAGGTTCCACAAGGCGGCGCAAGTTTCTATTCCGACTGGGCATCCAGAAACCAGTTCAAAGTCGGCGATTCTCTCCGTAAGAATTTCTCTYATGAAATTTTGCAACATAAATATATGTTATAAATGTCTATAATTTTTAGAAAATTCTCAACTTCTTCTTTATTATTATTTTTTTTTATTTTTGAAATATTCAATTTAAATGGCAATGTATTAAAAGTTATTAACTAATTTTAATGTGTCATTAAATTAAATTTTATTAATACTTAGACATGTGGCATGTAAATTATAAAGAAATGAATTTGGTTGATAAGCAGACAAAATTAAATTTTCGTGATGGCATGCATAATAGGTTTGATATATTATTAGAGTAGTTTAAACAATAATATATGATTGGTTGGATAACTATTTTAGTTTTTGAAAATTAAAATTATACATAAAATTTTCATCTATGCGTTTTTTTATCTACTATTTAAATTTGTTTTTTAAATCTAAGCCAAATGTTGAAATTTAGTAGAGTTTGAAATTTTGTATTTTTATATTTTTAAATCTAACYAAAGAGTGCAAAATGTTTGTTTAAGAAAGGTAAAACTTAAAAGTAAAAAAATTGTGAGGAGATTAAGAACATAATTTTTTWAAAAAAATAAAAGAACAAAATTGTTATTGTTATATTCTCTTTTTTTTTTTTAAACAAATTTTTAACAAACGATCTAATTTAAGAAGTTCGGATACATTAAGGTAAAACTAAAACCTTTTAAAAGATTAAAAAAATGAAATTAAAATTACTAAAAAAGATAGACATCACAGTGTATATTTAGTGAATTTTAACGATTAATAAATTATAAAATTTTCTCTATAATCCATCTCTTAAATTTTAATAATTCAACCGTATATAAAAAGTTAGATGGTCAAATTTTAACCTTCCCTGTGAAAATTTCTGACTTCGCTGTCGTTTATATATCGTAGTCTTCAAATTTGAAAAGAAGAAGCATAGAGTGGTGGAAGTGTCTAAGGAATCGTTCGAGAAATGCAGCAGCGACAACGTGATCGGAGATGTAATCACCGAGGGTCCGGTGAAGGTTGACATCACCTCCGCCGGCGAGCATTACTATATTTGCACGAAAGGCAACCACTGTGAAAAAGGTCAAAAGCTAGCCATCACCGTCTCTGCCGCCGGAGGATCTCGGCCGGCGAAGTCCTCCGGCGCAGCACCGGCCACCTTTTTGGGCTTTGTTCCTCAACTTCTTCTTGCATTATATATACATCTCAATTTTTAGTTCAATGAACTTTTTAATTTTAGCTTGATATTTGCAATAACTAGAAGGAATAAGTTTGTTTACTACTCGATATGGTTTTTTTTCCGTAGAACAATTTAATTTTTTTTATGAAACTATATTGTAATAATTAACATGCCATTATTGGCCGACTAAATTTATTCCCTTTTGTCCCTAATGTGTTTTGGGTTAACATTTTATATCCCCAATAGTTATATTTATTCGGCTTCTTAAAATTTTCAATGTTTTGTTGATGTCTCTCAATTTCGAAGATTATATTAAAATATTTGTAGTCTTCCGGATGGTACAATGACAAAGACATAGGGTCTTATGGTGGTATAACCTAAGATAATGTATTCGAGTTATGCACTGATCACAATGTTGTTCAACTCAAACAACGAGCCTAGTTATATAGTACATTGATTAAATTATTTCCCTAAAATAATTGAAATTGTGAAATATGATTTTTATTTGATTTGTTAGAAAAAAAATTGATTTTTAGTATAATTTATAAGATGATGTTTTCACGGGTCTTGCATTTGTTTTTTAGTACAACATGTGTGGAGGTGGGGATTTGAATTCACGAATTTTTTTTTGTCGAAAATTTATGTCTTAATCAATTGAATTATGCTTGGGTTGTCACATTTGTTAATGTTGATTAATTAGTGAACCATTAACGTTTTTTATGCAACATAATATCAATCAATCAATTAATACTAATAGTTTGTAGACCCATTGGGGCTCTATCTTGACATCAACAACTAATTTCTCAAGTCAGGTTTTTACAATCAATACTAGATTCTTATTTTTTAAGCACAAATTTTGTTAAGTAGGGAACAAACATTAGAATTCAATTTAGAGGTAACCATGCATATTTCACTTAGCCTCCATGAAGTTTTTGACATTGCCTTTTAAAAAGTTGAGTAAATTATGCTAGAATAAGAGCAAGTTTGTAGCCATCAAGCGAAAGATATATCATGATAAAAACTTGCTTAGAAAAAATAAAAAGATTGCATTAAATTTAACAATATAGTTTTAAATTTCTTGAGCTTGGTTGATGATTAATTATGAATGTTTTAATATATATTTTACTATATGTCATGTGATTGCATATCATAGTTGTTTGGAAAGCCTACAATAGCATTTTTTTATAATGCTTATGACAAAGCTATATTTGTGGTAGTATTCTTTTCCTTTAACAGTTTTAATTTTTTATCTGTTAAAAATACTTATGATTGAAAATTTTTGTCATCTCACATCGGGCGAAAAATTACACCATCTAATTCGAGCCTAAAGTTTTGATTTAATAAAATGGAGGGTTAAAATACTATTTTGGTCGATGTTCTTCTGATCTTAGTTCGTTTTAGTCTCTATACTTTCAAAATGTTCATTTTAGTCCATGTACTCTTAAAAAGTGATTACTTTAATACCTATTTGCAAAATTTTATCACAAAATTATACACATAAAGAAAACTAAGTAATGGTTACATCCTAAGAAATATATTGAGTTGAAATATGATGTTGAAATTGTGATAGAAAAAATGAGATAAAAAAATAAAATTAATGTACTAAAATATAGTCACTTTTTAAAATGAGACTCAAACGAACATTTTGAAAGTAGATTGACTAACCTGAACCAAAATTAAAATTACAAAAGAGCCCCAACAAAAGAACAGAAATATTATCATAGTTTTGGATTAAAGAGTTTTTGATAGATATAGAATTTGTGTTAGGATTTTGCAAACCAATTTAATTATGTATTTGGCGGGAATATATTATATAATAGTAATAATGATTTAGAAAAGAAATAAGGGTTCATATAATTTTAAAATAAGGTTTTAACTTAATAAACTAATGTCATCGTTTCAATGCCACGTTAAATTTTTAATAAAGAATTTCAGTTTACTCTTTGATCTTCTATATTTAGATATTATATATAAYTATTATAACTATATTCTATAATATAGAAAATATATAATTAAAAAAATTCAAGAAAAACTTTTCTTTTATTGGGGCTATGGGATTCTTATTTTCCCCTACCAAAAATGATAAAACAAACATATGAAAAAGAAACTCAAACCTTGTATTTATTTTAATTCTTTGAAGAAGAAAAAATTATCATTTTCTATTTTAATAGGCTGTTTATATTTAGTCTCTCTTAAAATGGAAGTTCCACTTTTGGAGTAAAAAAACGCCAACTTTTACGCAGATTTTTCAGGCCATTCAATAAAAAATACCCTCTTTTTCTTCTATCTTTAGCCATTTCCCTTCAATTGCTACCGTTTTTAATTTTTCCACAGCCAAATTCTTCGTATTAAGGCAGCTTCCTCGCCCCCTTATCTTCTCACTTTTCCACAAGTTCTTCTCTATACATTAGGAGAGAGCGTGGAGAAGAAGGGGAATTCAATCAATAAATAGGGTAACTAAATTTTGATTTTTTATCCATAGTAATAATAATTTACAGAAATATGGCCGGCGCCGGAGTTGCTCTCGTTTTGTGTTTCGTTGCGGCGGTTTTTGTCCAACATTCCGCCGCCGAGAAGGTGCATGTCGTCGGAGACGCCACCGGTTGGAAGGTTCCGGACGCCCCAACTTTCTACTCCGACTGGGCTGCCAAGAACACCTTTGCCATTGGCGATTCTCTGAGTATGACAATTTTATTTCTCCTATAATATTTTCATCAGACTTTAAAAATTACCCGAGTGCTAATAACGAGATTATTAATTATTTAGGAACTTAAAAAAGTATTTATTTATTGATTTTAATAGTTTTTTTTATACATATATTTTTTTAGTTTACAGGCATATTTGTCCATTTTATGTTGATATTTTTGTTCTTGTTTAGGAGACATTTTTGAAATTAGAGATAACTTCAGGTGCTTATTAAATACATGACAGAGGAAATTTTTGTGATTATTAGAATGAGACTTGTAGATTTGCCTAATAAGTTTAGTTATTTTAATTTTTAGAATTGTGTTTTTTTTTTTGAAATCAACTTTTTAGAATTGTGTTGGTTTAACAATTGTTTGGAAAGTTTCTAAGAAGGATATTAAATTCTCAAACAACATTTATTTAAATCTCTATTTAAATAGATTAATAGATTTTTTAATTTTCCTATTTGATAGATACTTCACATGTTAGGCTCTATCCAATTTATGCTTACCTCGTAAAATGGCTAAATCAAGTAAAATTAACCTACTACCAAATTTAGTCGGATAAAACTGGTATTATCTTACTCCCATTCAATATTTGACAACTTTGTCTTTGTTTTTCATTCCCTTACTAAACACTAAACCTTAAACTAGTTACAGTACCTATTATCGAAAGAGGAATCCTTCCTATAGTCTCGACCATTTGTCCCACTTCTCTCCACATTTCATCAAGTGGTCGTGCTAGAGACAGTCATGGATAATTATGAGATTATCCTTTCGAATGGGATAAGATTCTTTTATTTAATTGAAGAAATAATTGTATAGGAGCCAAGTTTTAGTGAAAATTAACCATATCAATTAATTAGACAAAATTGAAACTTTTGTTGATTAATGCAGCATTTAACTTTGCCGCAAACCAGCACGACGTACTTGAAATAACAAAAGAGTCGTTTGAGGCATGCGGTTCCGAAGACGACGCGCTTGACAAAGTGATGACAACGAGTCCGGTGACGGTGAAGCTCACCAAAGCTGGCGATCATTATTTCATGTGTACCGTCGGTAAGCACTGCCTGGCAGGCCAAAAGTTATCCGTCACCGTTGGCGCCGGCGGTGCTTCAAAAACTTCTCCAAATGCCATCGCTCCTTCTCCAGCCAACGACAGCGCCGCCGCTGCTCCAGCTCTGGCTAAATCGCCGTCGTCTTCGTCGACGCCAGCTAACGCCAGCGGATCTGATCAATCGGCTCCGGCACCAGCAGCTTCCTCCTCCTCTGCAGTGATGGCAAGCATTTTTGTCACTTTGTCCGCCATTGTTATGAGCTTCTTTTAATTTGGAACTGGATTTATGAAGGGAGGGTGAGTGATGGATGAAAGATTTATCAGTTGTATTCCAAACAATTATTTCATTATTTTTAACTATGTCATAATCAAATGTTAAATTTTCTATTTATTTCGTGTTACTTTTACAACTTTTGAATACACGTATTTTAAATTCTTAATTTGGGCTCTTTTTTTCTTACGGAAAAAAAAAAGTTTAAACACTATCTTGATTAGTTGCCTTTTGTTTAAAAGGTCTAATTTAGTTATTAAGTTAGTACCTATTTGCAAGATTTTAACATAAAATTTATATATAATTGAAAGCATTTGATTCAAATTTATGATCAAAATAAAAATAAATATACCAAATTGATTACCTTTAAAAATACATGCCGATTTTGGTGGACCGTGCTCCACCCCTGTGAACTTATGCGGTTCTACCCAGAGGTCAGAGGCGAATCCCAAAAACAGTCATCTTTGACTGGGGCTCACTTATGCTGTCCCCCCTCAGCTTACCCTAGTCCCCCGGGCCATGCTTAAGTAGGGTCAGGCAGAACCGTTGTTGCCTGATGGAACCTCCCCCATATTGCTATCAATGTCTTCATGTCGCTTAAGAGGACTTGAAAGTTGAAAGACTAAAGAAATTTGAAAATATAGGAACTAAAATAAATTAATTATATATTTCTATTATTTATATGGAAAATAAAATAAATTAATTTTTAATAATTTACTTTAGTAATGTACACCCAGTCAAATCAATTTCTAGACTTTTTATTTTCCTTTTTCTTTTATAATATTTCTTGTGGTCAATATTCAGCCACACCTCTCAAATTTTTATTGTTCATTTTTAAACACAAGTCACAAACATACTTTTCCATGCCATTAGACTTTCGGTTCAAATACTATTTTTATTTCTAGTTTGATTTATTTCATTAATCTTTTTAAAATATCTATTTCTTTTCTTTTATTTTTAACTTTTATAAATTTTCAGTCCATTTCAAATTCATATTCTTTTTAAATCTGATCAATTTGGCCTTTGTTAAAGAAATTTAACACAAATTTTATACACGGTAGATTTTAAACTAAAAAAAATTTATACACAAATTTTGTTAAAGAAAACCTTTGATATAATGGCTAGATTTTAAGAAATTTAATTACTGAAATGTCATGCTAAAATTGTGGTAGAAAGAAGTGAAATAAACTAAAAATAAAAATAAAATAACCAAAATGATGACTTTTTACAAATACATGGACTATAAAGTACGAAAGACTAAAATAGTACCTAAATCTACCATTCAAATAAGAAATGGAGATCCAAACTTATTTCCTAAAATAATAATAAGAAATCATTTACATCTTTCAAACTATGTTACTAATATCTTAATTAATCAATATTTTCGGACCTTCTGAATCAATTAAATTATGTTTAGGTGGGTTGAACTAATCAATTACCTATATTCTAATTTTCAACATATAAACATATTCAATTTCTTTTTAAAGTATTATAATTCAAATAAGGATCAGTAGATATTCAAAATTACGAATTTTAAAGTTAATATCTTAACCCATTTATAGTTGGTAACATTTTGTGATTGGCATTGTAGTAGATACTTTTTCCTCCTTCATCCACCATAGATATATGTGTGATTTTCAAAACACGAGTGGGTCCATAAAATAAGTGGGCATCTCATTATGCGTATGGGTGAAAGCACCCTTTTATTATTATTATTATTATTATTTTGTCTCTTTAACGATTTAGAAATAAGCGAAATTGAATTATAGGTTAGGTTTGGCAGTTTTTCCTTTATTTCAAAAAGGCAAAAAAAAAAAAACTAGCATAATTGACATAAGTTCGATCTTCTAACTCCACATGTTATACTAAAAAAAATCCGAAAAACATATAAACATAAATTCAACAAATTATATATAGAAAGTTTGAAAGAAAATTTTACTCTTCTCAAAATTTCTAGGTCCAAAAGAAGTAGAGTGCGATTAAATTGGGTTCTCTTAATTTTATTGTTACGTGTGCTATTGAAATGGTCTGAAAAGTTTGTAAAAATATAAAAAACTTACAAATACAAATACATATAAAAAACGATACTTAATTTGACAACTTTCAGTTTTCTAAAAACATAGAAAAGAATAAATATTTTTCATATCAAAATACTTGAATTTTAACCCTAACCTGTTATACCTTAATTTCATGAAATAAATCAATTAGTCTAACATTGATATTGATTTCTCCCAAGAGCACATAATTCAATAGCCCCTTAGATCCTATTTTAAATAATAAACAATCGAGGAAATGTCAAAGTCAAATAATAAATATTTATACCTTTTAAAAGTGTTTCAAACCCCTATGACCCTCTAGATTAAATAGTTATTACCAATATTAACTCCTCATTAAGACAGTCTACATTCTTTTTAACATATATAAAGCATTCGACCAAAAGTGTAAATTATTTTTGGATGGATTTTTACTAACTAAATTTCCATAATATAATAACGATACAAGATATACTGAAAAAGAAAAAACAATATGATATGCATGGCCCCTGTGGGTTTTCCCATCAACGGACAGTATTATTTCTACAATGAGAAAATCCAAAAGGAAAAAAGGACTAATCCTCTGCGGGGTGTTCCATTTCAGTACCGTTATTATCGAAATCGTCACCGTTGATCTGATCAAGGACGAGCACCAATCCCATGGCGAAGGCCCCATCAAAGCCAGGCCTGAGGATGAGAGAGAAGACGTCCTTCCCAAGCACCACGTTAGTGGAAGCATCTACTTTGCGTTTAATCTCAGCCATTGGTTCCTTCTCTCCATTGAATATCGTGCAGTGTCGATTACCGAAACTGCCCTCGATCTGGTACTCCTCGCCGGAATTCTTCAACATCTCCACCGTCATGCTCGACCGTCCGATTATCGACGAACGCCTCACGCTGAAGATTGGCTTCTGCCCCTCCGTTCTCTCCCCTAGGTATCCTTCCCACCGGTGGTGCAGACTCGGCCTCTGTTAGTCATTTTCTTCGGTTATTCATTGGGTTTTTCTACTGTTTCAAGTTTAACAATGGCGTCGTACAGTAATTACTCAAAAACTAAACATCGATTCGATTCGAATATTCAAGACCGCGCCCGAGCGAGATCACTCGATCTGTCGCGACTCAGTGACTCACACTCGGTTATTGCAGAAAAGAAAACCGAAATCTCTTCTGCGAGCCAAATCGATTTCACGATTCTATATTCTCATCAACAAATTTGAAAAGAATAGCGACAAGAACACGCGCGGAGTTGAATCGGAGCAATTAAAACCAGAAAAATTACCAGCGTGAGTTCGCAGAGGAAAAGAGGATCAGATCCAAACACATCAATCTCAACGCGAAACAGAGCAAACGGTTTTGAAAAACTCCGGAATCGACTACAGATTCGAATCGGCTAAACAGAGAGGAGAATAGAAGAGAAAACAGAGAGGCATTACCTTTCGGCGGACAGTGAGGAGGCACTTCCCCGGCGCGTCCATGAGAACGATTTCATCCTTCTCACGCGGATCTGGACCGTACGAATCGACTCGGAAGACGAGCTCGCCCTTGCAATCGTAGACGGTGTAGCCATCGCCAGCAAAGAACAGAGAGGTTTTCATGACGGTAAGATGTTTCTCTTCATCATACACAAAATCATTTTCCACGATTACGCCTTCTTTCATCCTGTTCTTCAACTTTTGGAGATTTCTTCAACCGAAACGCAGAAGAATGTGGAAGATTTTGGTTTTGTTGCAGGTTTTTGAATGAAGAAAATGAGTGGACTCTCTGCGGATCGATGAGAATGACGAGACGAAGATGGAAAACTTTATATCCTGAGCGGTGAGTTTTCGCCCTCGTGAAATTTAATATAATTCTGCATATAATATTATTTTAGTATGATCCGAATTTTTTTATTTAATAAAAAATGTCACCGAAATGACGAAATCTAAGATATTAGTCTCGGAAAATTTTCAAAAATTACGGAAAGAAAGAAAAAAACAAAGAAGGGTATTTGCTCCATTGCGTTTTTTTGGGGAATTTTTTTCACTTTAAGATTATAATTTATGTAAAAACAAATTAAAAAATATAGCCGATAACGATTTTGTTTTTTATTTTTTATTTAAAAATTATGCTGATTTTTTTCCTAATTATTTTAATATATTTTACATATTTTACCCAAATCTACCTCTTTTAGTTTTGAAAAAGAATTGACTTAAATTTTGAAAACATTTCTAAAAGTTGATAACAAGATAAATGAATATACGTCAAAGTTGTGGTTGTAATTAAGTTCAATTTTCAGAAAAACAAAAACAAAATGGTTATCAAACCGTGTTTAGGAAAGAAAACCTATAATTATTTTATAAAAAATATAATCATTTTTGCTTTTTATCAAAAAAGTCGTAAATGTGACTTTTGGTTGGTCTCACGTGATTGTATAAATTTGCAATTTATGTTATTTTGTAAAATTTTAAACCTAACGTTATATATAACTTCATATTGTCTTTTGTACTAATATGTGATTCCCTATTTTAAAAAGGGGGGTTTTGATGTACTAAAATCTACTATTTCGAGAAATATGTTTGAGATTTGAGAGGCCTTATTTGTTAACGAGTGGGAGAGTTTGAGTCGTCACAAATGGATGGAGAATTTGAGTGTACAACTCATGAAAAAAGATATGTCAATATCTAGCAACTTGAGCTTTGTACACGTTAGCAATATAGCTTAGGGTTAGGAAGCTTTGGGTTTGTACCATTTGTGTTTGAAATGGCCGATAGATGTCTAAATTTTTATAGGCTCTTTTTAGTACAAACAACAAGATTAAATAGCATTGGTTAGTTCAACAAGATCAAGCAGGGTGCGTTAGTCCAACTCCTCAACCACCAATTATCCATCAAGACAAACGTTAAATAAAAAGCCTCTAAATTCAACAATAACCAACTTTAAAATTACAAGAATCGGTATAAATCCATACAGACTAAATTTACAAAAAATTTCTCAACAAAACAAGCTTAAAAACCTTCTAAACAATTGAAAATTTGGAATTTTAAATCTGAAAAATTTTCTGTTTTATAAAATAAAACTTCCAAGAATTTTCCATAAAACAATTAATAATTTACTAATTTTTATAGAAAATCATATCTAAAAGCTGTATAGAAAACCTTTAAAACTTGGTAAAATATATAATTTTTCATGTAAAAAACAAAGACCTCAAAACTTTTCCCAATTGAATTTAAAGAACTACAGATCAAGAAAAATAAAATTAAAACAATGAAGAATAAAAACTTACCGATCTTACAAAAAAACCAAAATTCTTCTTCTTCTTTTATTTTTCTCATGTAAAGAAAACTAGGTCTAGCAGTTTAAGAAAATAGAACATAGAATTTAAGGGTTTTTATAACAAACCTAAGAATCATTTTTTAAGAAGGCTAACATAAAAAGATAAATATTTGATAAAACCCTTTATTTTTATTTTTTAAATTCTAAGAACAAATTATATTTTAAAAATAATTTTTAAAATAAAAAGATTTATCTTTGAGAAAATAAAATAAAACAACTAAAAAAGTATAATAATTTAAATATATATATATATATATATATATTTTCGACCGATGACAGTATAGAAACCACAACGATCATTATTATTCTCGGTCATAGATTTTGTTAGTTATGTATAAAAGTTAATTAAATTTTTTACCGCCCTAAAGTTACGGACCAACATACTGAACATAAGTTTAACTTCGCTAAATTATCTCAAATTCAACTCGTACGACAAATGTTTTCCTCACTACATTTGTTGTATTAAAAAATTATATCACGTAGAATATAGGTCACCCCGAAAGAAGATCAATTTAAAAAAAAAAAAATCAGAGCCTTCTACGTGAAAGAAATTTTTGATTATCGGTTAGATTTTGTTAGATGTGGAGTAATAAAGTTATTATATTGCTTGAATGACCTATTTTGTTTTTATATTATCGAATTTAAATACCAATGAAAGAATAGAATCTGAAAATTATTTCTTTACCACGTATACAAATTAGGACAAATTTAGCCTATACTAGATTATTTAATTAAGAGTAACCTTAAAATGGATATTTATTAGTCAAAGGATCCACTATTTTCCTTTAAATAAATTAGAGATGCCTCCGATTTAAGTTTTAGTCGATAGATTGAACAAAAAAAATATATCAATTTTCAAATTGAGCTTTAAATATTTAATTTATAACTAAAATGAACAATAGAATCTTATAGGGAAAAAACAATGTAAGAATTTTGCCGATTGAATCAATTAACCCTCCATTAAAGTTCCTTTCGAAAATCGTTACTCAAAATTTACCTATAAATAATATTCTTCTCCCAAAATTCTACCAAAATAGTAAGAAAAATTGTTACCAAAACCCTTAAATAATTATAATTAGAGATAAATATAGGAAGACGATTGGATGAAAATCTCTTTCTTATATTGATAAAAGCCGCTGCCTCCACTTATTCTAACATTTTCTCTTGATATTTTGTTAGTCTTGCTTTTTGAGAAATCTACCCACCTGTGAAAATTAGATTTTTTAACAATATGTAAATTAATTCACTTTAAAAATTTTAAGATTTTAATTGATATACTTATTAGTTTATGGTTTTAATTGATTCCATCAATTGAAAAGTTTAAAGGTATAAATTAATTTTTTAAGAAATTTTTTTTATCCAAGATCAAGACACCGACGAGACAATAAAATTATGTAATCGGTAAATATTCAATTTTAAGAACGTTAATAAGTATCTTATCTAGTGAATAGATTGACATTGATTTGGTCGATTTTTCTTCTTTTTAGTACAATAGAGGATTTAAACTCGCCACTTTTTAATCAGAAATATGTGTCTCAACCAACTAGGTTTAGGTTGACATTAATTTGGTCAACCTAACCTAGCTTAATAAGTTAAAATATTAATAATCTCTTTTTAATATTGGGAATATATTTTGAATAATGTGTCTATCTAATTTTAAAATTTAAAATATCTGATTATAATGTTATATTTGTAAAGATTTGAAAGAAAAATTTTGACAAAAGCATAACGACCCACTGAAATAACTTAAACCAAAGTAAGTAAAATTAGGTCAACTAATTACATATCGCTTTCTTTAGTTTTCTCACATGAGTGTGGGGAACTTGTATATGAGATTGTTGCGTTTTTGTTTAAATTTGTAACGTATAGGTTTGACTTTGTTGGATACTTTTGTCCTCTTTCTTATTTTCTGTTTCTCGTTTTAGTATAAACGTTTGATAATGGTGATAGCTTCTCGTTTCTCAATTTTAAGAACGTTTCCAAATTTGTGTAGAATTTTTTTCAAACAACAAAATCCAGTTTTTTGTTTTTTGTTTTGAAATGCAAATAAAATTATTATTTTATTATTTTTTACTTAAAAATGCATGATTAATATTTAAAAAAAAATAAAATGTAAATGTTTAAAAAGTAAAAAATAGTAATTTTCACATGAAATTTTTACTTTTTTT